GAGAGAGCGAGAGGGCGAGTGTAACATTAACTTTAGCATTTGTGTGCGTGTGTACTCACCTTTTGCGGCACTCATTAGATCTTTAACCTCTTTGATAATGCGCTTGATCTGTTGACTAGTGTGATCCAATTCTTTTTCGTGACGATTCAAATTATCACGAAACTCGGGACTATCGACAATGCATTCCTCGAATTCCAGAGGCTCCAGGCCGCGGCGAATGTCTTTGCCGCCGCCCATTTTTGTTGATTTTGTTTTTGTTTTTAGTTTTGATGCTGTTATTGTTGTTGTGGTTACTGCTGCTGTTGTTGACTTTGCTGCGCTGCTGAAATTTGTTTTATGCTTAATCTTATTGTTGATATTGATGTTGTTGTTGTTGATATTGATTTGGGAGGCGTTTGAGTTGCTGCGTCGAAAGCGACGACGTACAAAGTAAATGTGTTTGTTTTTTAATTTGCTCTTTGCTGCAGCTGTTGCTGCTGCTGTTGTTGTTGATGCTGCTGCTGCTGTAGTTGCTGTTGTCGCCGTATCGCCGTTGCCCTGCTGCTGTTGTTTGTTAGTAGTTGTTGCGTTATAATTGTTGTTGTAATATTTCTTTTTATTAGTATTCGCTGTCTGCGGCTCATTAGTATTTATGTTTGTATTAAAATTAATATTATTAATATTGTTGTTATTGTAATTATTTTTGTGTTGCGTCTGCTTCATAATTTTAAGCAAAAAACAAATTATTCAAAAAAATATTTATTTATATATCTATATATATAGACGTATATATATATTTCGATTATTCTGCACAATTGATTGTGTTCTGCTTTTTTGAATTTTAATTTATGCAATTTTTTCACTTTTTTATCAATTTTATTTTGTCAAACGAAAGAAATGCAAAATCAATTTGCGGCACTGTAAAAACAAAAGGAATCATAATTAATACACACACAAGGCACATGCATACAAGCACATAAAAAAACAATATATATATATATGCATAAAAATATTTTAATAATCATAAAAATCACAAACAAAAAAACTGAGCTTTCCATTTAAGCAAAACGTGCAGTAAAACGAAACAGCTGAGGCATTGATATTTAGTTGATATAAAACAAATAGATGTATGTACATATGTATGCATGTGTGTATGTATGTATGTATGTAGCTATGTAGATGGCGACTGTGTAAACAATAACAATAATATTAATAAACGGCTGCCGTCTCTATTATAACACAAATGGCAAACACATTGACTAAAGCAAGCAAAAAATAAATAAAAATTATAATAGTAATAAAGATGGAACAAAAACAAAAAACACGCAGAGCAAAGCAAACCACAAACATGTGGAAAGGCAGTAAAAATAATTGCTTGTAGTACTAACTTTTTTTCAAATGCATATGCTCAATATGAAGAGTGCAGCAGCAGCAGCAGAAACAACAACAGCAATAACACCAACAACAACAATAACAATAACATCAGGGCAGACAAGAGCAAAGCAGAGACAACGACGCAAGAGCGAGAGAGTGCGCTGGCTAAGCGGCGCAAAGAGCGGCTCACGCGTTCACTTGCTCGCTCAGTCACTCACGCACAGACGCTGCCGCTGCTGTTGCAGCGCAGCCGAAAACGTCAAGGCATAATTACGTTTATGCGTTGCACGTAGTCATCATATATTGTTGAATTTTTTTGCATTCAAATAGAAATTCCGCAAAAATCTGGAATTGTGAAATTTATGAATAAAGTTCGATCGCAATTTTTTACTTATTGAACTTTCTATTCTATTTGAATGCAACTGAATAATTGCAATAGTAACAATGGCTGATCGTACTGTTGGGCACTGCATAAACGCAAATATTTATAGCGAAATTCATGTGGCGGCCGCTGTTGTTGCCCTGCTTTCGTTATTGTTGTCGTTGTTGTTGTGGTTGTGTTTTTTTTTTTGCTGTTGCGGCTGCTTGCAATTTGACTTTGGTTTGCAGTTACTTTTTGGTTTCCGTTTGCTGCAACTAATTTCATTTGCTAAAAATCAAATTTCGCTCAGCTATACAACACACACACGCACACTAAACACTCTGACACTCGCACACATATACACTTGCATACACACACAAACATGCATTCGCCGTCGTTTTTAGCAGAAACTTGTTGAATATGTACGTAAAAAAACTGGTTGCGCGACATTAACTACAAAGGCGCGTTCAGTTCGGCATACACAATACGGAGACGTACATACATACACACATACACACATGCACACGCACACCTTTAACAACTGAAATTGCACTGCATATTTGCGTTGTTTATATTTATATTCTTTTTTATGATTTAAGATCTTTTTTGTCGAATAGTTTTGCCAATTTGCACATACACACACACACATACACAATACAGCGCGCACTTGGTCAAAAAGTGCGACATGGACTTTATTTTCTCACATGTGTATTTCACGAAACGGGAGAAAAAATGCAAAAAAAAATGAAGAAAAAAGAGGGAACTAATTAAAGCAACAAAATTACACACTTCATTGCATAATTTCAGCTGCTGCTGCGGCGGCTGCTGCTGCCATTTTGATACGCGCGATCAAGTAAATACGCGTATTTCAAACGCAACACCGCGGCACACACACGAAAAAAAAACAACAAAATGCAATTGTTGGCCGTCGGTCGCGCGACGTCGTTGTCCGTTCACGGCAAAAATCCAACAAGACATAATCTGAAAACAACAAAAAAATAACAGCACACGTTCAAAGTCTGTTGGGGTTACACCATACACCAGCCGTTATTCAGCGTACTCTGAGAGCGTAAAACTATATGGAACTGACGTCACGTTTGACTACTGACAAGTGCATGCATTAATTAAATTTATTTGCTAAACTGATTTTTTTGCAGAGAATATTCACAATACTTTTTTTTTCATTCCAACGAAAGCAATTTGATCGTAAAAACACAATATTTTCAGTATCATATTGTTAAATGTGACGTCATGAGTACGTCTGTTACTCTCCTGTTATGCTGCTACTACTCTGTTATCTTATTGTTATATTTAACATAGCGCGCCTTTAATTTAATATTGAATTTAAAATGAAAATTGCTTTATGACAATCTAACAGTTAAAATTATAGCAAACAATTGCGACTTTTTGAAATAATATTTTATTATAGTTACATTGATGTAAGCGAATGAGTTTTTCGATTCTGTTTACTTACTAGCCGGTTTGAAGAGTTGCTATTTTGCGAGCTATCGATAAGCGTCATTTACATATGCGTTAACATTACTCGCTTATGTTAGCGCAGCGAGCTTGCTGTATATGCCGCCAGGTGTCTCTTCACTAATTTGAATTCGATACTGGAAAAGCCGTTATAAAAACATTTTCAAGCCTTTTCCATTTCATAATAATCAAATATTTATTTGGGAACAGTAAAAGGCCGGCAAGCAAGCTGATTTTTAAATGTAATTTATATTTTGTATATTTTCAATATGTATATAATAATAGCAATTACACAAAATAATATTAATAGACAATAATAATAATAATCATAATAGTACAATAATGATCGGTATATATATTTATTTATTCATATAATCAATTTATCGCTGCTCAGCGATATCAAAATGAAATCATAATTCAACATGCAAACATACAAAAAAAAAAGAGATATATATATGTGTATATATATATTTAAAAAAAGTTTTTTTTTAATAAACAATACAATTTGTTGAAGAATTATTGAGAGAAATAATTAGTGACACTGCTAGTTTTGATTTGAAACATAATTATGAGTTATTCAGGAATTAATGGATATATATATATATATATATATATATATATATATATTACGTATGCCTTCCGAAAGATCGTCGATCGACTGGGCAGAAAATATAATTTAAATAAAAAAAATAATAATATATATAGAAGTTACATACATAAAGGATATATGCTTGCAGTGGCATGTTCTTTTTTTTTGTGGTTTTCTTTTTTTTTAATATTTTCTATTAATGTTTATATACCATTAGCATATAATAATAGTTCGAATTGAATTTCGCCTTAATATGTTTTTGCTTGATTCGTTATGCGAATTGGAAAGTTTACTAGTATGTGGATCGTCGATCGTTTTGTGGAACGCAAGAAATTTCTAAATTTAAAATTGTGTTAACGTTGCATTCTTATTATTATTAAATATACATACATATATACATATATATGTATATATATACATATTATATTATTATTATTTTTTAACGTGCTACGTTAATGGTTTTGCTCTTTCGTTTTTTTTTTATAAATATTTTCCCCTTTTTCGTTACATAATTTTTTGCCCATTTCTTCACATAAATTTAATATAATTTGCTTTAAGTTAAAATCTTTACTTCATTAATTTGTAGAATGTTTCGTGAGTGTTTCTCTTTTTATACAAACAATTTCAACTTCATTAAACTTCGTTCTTTTTTTCAGCATTAATTAGTGTGTTTTGTATGTGTGTGTGGTGTGGTGAGATTTGGCAAATTTGCAATGCGTGGTGAATTTGTCTAGTTTACACCACTCGCTTTTTGTATTCACGTTTTCCCCCGCTCGGATTGCCAAATTGTTGCTTATTTAATTAAATACATTTTAAACATTAACTGTGCCTGCTGCTGTTTTTGCATTTTCATAAAAATTTTTAAAGTTTCCTTCGTTTTTTTTTTTTTTGCTAATTGCAAAAGGTGCTTTTTGTATTGTTTATACGTGTATATAATTCTCCGGTATTGTATTTTTTGTTTATTCATCTTCTTTATATTTATAATTAATAAATTTTATTTATTTAATTTGTATTTTATTTGCATTTATGTATATATATTTATACGTGTTTCTTTTCTTTTTTAATGATTTCTTTTTGTTTATTTTTTACGCTTAAAATATAATAATTTTAATAATAATAATAAACTACGACCATGTTTTTATTTAATATTTTCTTTAGCTGAACACTAGTGTTTGTTGTTTCTTTTTTTTTTGTTCTTCCTCAATTTTGTATTTCTTTTTATGTTTACTTTAAGCTTTTGTTGTTGTCGCTTTTGCTCTGTTGTTGTTGTTGTTGTTAGGCATTCGCTTAGTTGCTTTTGTACCTGTTGGTTAACGGGGAATAGAAAGAGAAAGACCATGTATTAGAAAGAGATAGAGTGTGACAACAAAAAAAGAAGCAGTTTAGTTAAACTTTGGAAACATTAATAAATGCATTGGCATTTGCAGTTAACACATTTGAAAGTACAATTCAAATCAATGTAAAGCAAATCAATTATAGTTTACTAAATTACTAAAATATAAAACAAGCAACTAACCGAATTATGGTTTCTGTCAAAGGCAACATTTGTGTGGGGCTCAACATTATGAACAAAAAATATATGGATATATATAAATATATATATATGTGTTTGTGTATATATGTATATATATATACATAATTCTCTACGCGTGTTGTGTTGGTGTTTTGTTGCTGTTAAATTGGTCGTTTTTGGCGCTCATGCAAAAGGTTAATGAATGCGACATTCAGTTGTAGTTTAGTGTTGTTGTTGTTGTTGTAGTTGCTGCCGCTACTGCTCATGTTGTAGTTGTTGTTGTTGATGTTGTTACAGCTACAAATGTGTTGTTGTTGTTGTTAAATGCCTACATATACGGATAGCCCATGTTACGTCCTGCCGCTGCCGCTGCTGCTGCTGCCGCCGCACCAGGTGGATAATTTGGTGCATATTGCTGGGGAATGCCCATTGCTGGACCAGCTGTTATCATCAGCTGCGGCTCCATTTGAATTATGTTTTTATGCTCCGTTGTATCATCCTCCTTCTCGCGCTGCGCCTCATTCAGCTCCAGTTTATCCACCTTGGTGGTATACTCGCGCAGCACCTGCCAAGCACAAGCAAAGATAATTAATAGCTGTTGATTGGCTTTCAATTGTTGTTGATAATTACCTGTATCAAATAGGGCATGGCAAAGTCCATGATTTTGTGTTTCCATGCCAGTTCCAGGATAACATCGGGACGCAGCAAATCGTAGCACTGGAGAGCAGCAAAATAAATGTTATAGCTAACAGAATACCTGATTAAAGAAGCAGTTGTCTCTCACCTGATATAGACATGCCGCAAAGCAATCGTGTGCATTGCGCTCCAGGAACCAGCCCAACAGCTCTTCGGCAATTTCCTGTTTACCAGACTCGGCAGCATACTCCATAGCATCCTTGTACAGTTTGTCCTTTTTGCACAGCTCAACGCTCTGCTTCCAGCGATTGTTGCCTGCAGAATAAGATAAATATATATATATATATATATATATATATATAGGTTCCATGTCATATCATGCCAATAGTTACCTTTGTAGAGATAGGCCGCAATGCGACGGAATTCGGTGAGCTCGTGCTTCTCCAGCTTCTGCGCTAGCGCTATGGTATCAAAGTTGTCAAAGCCATCGATGGAATTGCGCAAACCCTGGTAATCCTCCTCATCAATGAGCAGCCCATTGAGCGCCTCGTTGATGGCCTTGTTGTTCAGCGATTGTACGGAGCGCAAATACGGTTTAACCAGCGGCAGATAGCCCGTCTTCGAGAAGTAGCTAACGGCACGAGTGTGATCCATGCGTGGGGCTAGCACCAGGAGCATATCGTTCAACAGCAGCGGCTTGAATTCCAAATAGAATTCGGTTGCCTTGTAGTAGAGCTCAATGTTTGCCACCTTGGTGATGATGTCCTTGAAGTGGCCTTCGCGCCACGCCTCCGTGGGATGAGCCATCATTGCGAGCACAGCATTATCATATTCCTCATACTTATCATAGAGAAAGACCAGCTCGGACCACAGATGCGCCGATTCGGCGGCACGCAACACCTTCGGTATGTTCACGCGCGACCAGAACAGCTCCAAGTGCTCACGCATCTTAGAGGGCTTGAACTTGGAGTAGAGTATTGCCAATTCGCTGAACATGCCCATGTGGGCGCGCTCCAAACCAAGCGCCGATTCCAGCAGCGCAATCAGCTCCTCGAAGTAGCCACGATTCTGATAGTAGTTAATCAAATCCTCCAGCTCATCGGCGTGCACGACAATGTGCAGGCCGCACATCTGCGCCAAACGGAACTCTTCGGCGTCGACGCAGGCGAAGCACACCTCCTTCCAGGTGCGCGTCGAATTGGCTTTGCGTGCCGAGTCGACAGCGCCCTGGAACTCCTTCAGATACACAAGCGTAATGGCCAAGCGGGCAAAGTTGCTAACGTTGTTGTACAGGAGCTTGGCGGCATCGTACATGCCATCGCTGAAGCAGCGATCGCCGATCTTCTGTATGTCCGCATGATTGGGACCCGAGATGAACTCCTCGAGATCGGCGAGGCGACCGGTGCGCGCATAGGCATAGATCAATTCGCTTTCAATGTACGATTCACGTGCCTTCTTGCGTGCCATTTGCAGGTAGCGCACCAAATCATCCCAGGACTCCACTTTGCTGGCTACGTCAACGACATCCATATAGGCACTGGGATCATCGGCCTTGATATACGAATCGATGGCCTCTTTGACCAGGCCCTGCTGTAGCTGCGCCTTGGCCAGTTGCGACCAGACGGCCGGCTCATTGCAACGCTCGGCAAACTCATTGGCGCGCTCCAAGTTGTTAACCTGATCAATGAGCACCTGAATGGCCGAGGTGTTCACATCGAACTTCTTGAAGATGGCGAATGCCTCCTCGTACAGCTGATTGCTGATTGCAATGTTAGCAATGTCTGGCGCATCGTAGTTGTCCAAACGATTGATGTAGTCCATGACGCGAGTGCGATCCGCCTTGATAGCGGTCAGGATCAGCAGATTCTGGAGATTGCGATGGTCGCTGAAAACGGACGAGTCCAATATAATCTTTTCGAGCAGCTCGATCAGCTCATTGGGCAAATCGGCGGTCATGAAAGCCTTGACCGTAACAGAGATATCATCTGGATCCTGTGTCTCCGACAGGGCTGTCTGTACCACCTGATCGATAAGCTGGCGCTTGTAGGGATTTGCCTCCGACAGCACCTCGGCCCAGAGTTCAGCGTCGCGACGGCCAACCAGATAGCGTGCCTCGCTCTTGAACAGCGAATTCTCATTGCAAACGGCGATCAGTTCGCGATCGCATTGGCCACGTTCGTAGGCAACGCAGGCCAAGTGTGGATCACGCTTCTCACAATAGCGTCCGACAACGCGACTGTCATAGTATTGATTCTCTTTGAGGAAACGTTCCGGATTGTTGTTGGAGTCAATGTAGATCTTGGCCAAGGCATTGTGTGTGGCCGGCTCAACGCAGCCTTCGTGGACGCGCGACTCCAGCCAGGGCAACAGCAATTTCAAGCGATTGCGTTTCTCCACCTCCTCCACTAGCTCATCCGTTGAGAACTGACCCTTGACAACCAGAATGAGGTTCTTGATAATGTCCTCACTGCAATCGACATCGAGCAGACCGCCCACAACAACGGGCAAACGTGACGGATTCACCTTCTGCACATAGATTTCAATATATTTCTGAAGATTGTTGCGATACAGATAGAGGACCAGATCGTGCACGAAATCGAAGCGATCGCAGACAATTATCAAAGGCAATTGATCCGTCAGCTTGGCCTCCTTCAGGAAGTTCTTGACACGCTCTGGATTATAGCAATTCGATTCGCGGCAGATGCGCTCCACCTCCTTGATCTGATTGGTTTTGCAGGCCGCCTGTATATACTTGAAATGCACCTCCGGATCCTGCGAGAAGTTCACAATGCTGCTCAAAAAGTAGAACAGACCGTCGTAGCTCTTGAAACTCTCGAATAGATCAATCAGCGCCTTGGTTGTTAGTTGCTCGTGGTATTTGGTGGCGATTTGCACACAAATCTGCAAGTTCTGGCGCAGATTAGCCGTGAGCATGGCCTTCAAGCATTCCAGCGAATCCTCAACGGAAAGCGTGCCAAAGAAACTGACCAGCCATTCCGCATTCAGCATATGCGTATGGACAACGGCACGCTTAATGTCATACAGATCCGTATAGTGCTCCAATGCGCGCTGCAGCAGGCCGGCCTTCTCGCACAGCTGTGCGATGTGGGCGCGATCGTAGTGGGTGAACATGGCGTTGCCTAAGATGGCATCTGCCACTTGTGGCGCCGACAATAGATTCATTTCGAGCAGACGCGTCTGCAGTGCTCCCTCGGCGGGACGATTATGCTTGAGGGCATCCAGCAGAAAGGCTGTGCATTGCTGCACCATTGAATGCTCCATAAAGATGTCCACAATTTGATTGATGTCGGCCAATGGCTCCTCTTCGGCCACCAGCATGGAAGCAAAGCCAGCGCCTTGTTCCGGATTGCTGCGCATCACGGAGCGCAACAGGAATATATAGTCGGGCGTATAGTTGACCTTCTTGGCATAGAGCACAATCTTTTGGAATTGACCCGTTTCGGCAAAGCATTGAATGACCTTGTTGGGCACATTAGCGCGCAGATAGATGGACAGAGCGAGTGTTAGATCCGATGTCTTCACCAAATCACCCAGTTCCTCGCTGCACTCGAGCTTCTCCTCTTTCAGCCATTTCTCGCATAGCTGCTTCTTGCCCTGCAAGAGCACGGGACGGCACAGCTCCAAAGATTCAAACTTATTCAGTTTACCCTGGTCGAGCAGGATGCCAAAGTACTGCAAGAGCGGCGGCGTCGTTGACCCAGCCGGTGTTTGCACCTGCTGGAAACGTTGAATTGTCTGCGGCGTACGTAGAATGGCCTTTGGCGCCAATGCTGCGACTTTGGCGGCCTCGGCATACTGGCCGGCTCCAAAGAGTTTATTGAATTTACGCACGAACAGATCCTCGGCGCCAGCCAAATTGTTACGCACGGCCATGCGCAAGGCGAGATCCGGATTTTGGAGCACTGTATTGATATAGGGTATGATTTGTTCCTCATCGACGGTCACGGACAGCACTTGACCCTTGCGATTGACGCCAATGATGCCGCCGCTGGCCTCGTGCGGTGCGGTCACAAAAATCGTATCGGCCGATATGCGATTCATGTAGATGCACGTGGCCGTTTCCATATCGTACAAATGGATATATCCATATTTGGTTATCAAATAGATGGTATCGTATTTTGCGGAAACTTGCATAGCAACCGGAAAATCATTTTGTGCCTCCGGCGGAAAGAATACATCGACAGCCTTCTTCGGGAAGGGTTGATTGCCATTTGGCGGCGTTCCTACCTCAATGATGTGCAGCTTGCCTCCAGTTGCGGTGCGTACGGCGAAGCAGAAGAGCGTTGTTGGCTCCTTGTTGCCCTCGATCTTGAAGGTGGCAAAACTGGCGGCGTGTCCCTCAATGGCCTGAGACACCTTGCGCTCCACCGAATACAGCTGCATGGCGCCAGCGACGCGGCTGGGCAGCGCCGAGATGCCAACAAGCAGTAGCCACTGTTGGGAGGCATTGCAACGATAATTGATTATCTGACAGCCATTGAGGGAGGAATGTCTATCGAACATTTTCTGTGGCATCGAATCGCCCTCCATGGACCAATGGAAGACGCTCGTCTCGGTGACCAGGGCGAGCGTATTCAGTGATATCCACTTCCAGAATACCACATCCTCGTTCATCGTGTGCGCCTTCATTTTCGACTTCATCTCAATGTTGAAGATCTGCAGTGTCTTTTGCGCTGCAAAAATATAAAGGATGGTTTATATAGTAAGAAATTCTGCTGGAAGAAGGTGTATTTGCTTACCTTTAAGCGCAATCACCTTGCTAGCCGGATTCATAATGGCCGAGTCCGCTGATATGGGACGGCGCGTAGGATTCGATGAATCGTTCATGTCAATGATGACCACCTGAGCGGTATCGTTCGACTTCTCCCGCACACAGATGAACTTATCCGACTCCATTGTGAGCGTGCTGAATGAGAAGGAGTTCGGATTGATGCCGACATTTGTGAGCTGCAAGTATCAAAACATAGAGACAGGTATTAATATAGATTGATTTTACTATCTACTATCTACTTTCTATTCTCTACTATCCAAAATATCTACGACTATCTATATATCTATATATGCATTCACTCGACTCTATTTTTTTTTTTTTTTTTTTTTTTTTAGGCAATATATTTATTTCTTTATTTTGTTGCAGCTTATTGTCTTAGACTCTATAGCGCATTTAGCTCTAAACCTTAACTAATGGGAGGGCAGATATGCCAATTATTCTGCACTTGTAGCTACTATCTTAATTAGTTCTAATATTGTCTAGAGGATGCAATCTCTTCAGTCTTCGCCTATTGTTGTTTATAGCCAGGTTGCTTGCGAGATGGTTAGGATGCGCTGCAAGTCTGTCCGCGTATCTTGAACTGTGTCGCCCAATGAGTTCAGCAACTGTGGGAATTGCTAAATCCCTATGTAAGACTGAGTTTCTTACAAACCAGCTGGCTCCAGTCCATCTGCGTAGTGCTTTATTCTGCAGGGTCTGAATTTTGTTCCTTGTAGTCTTCGCCGAGGAGCCCCATAGAGAGATACCATATACGAAGGTTGGGACAACTATTGCCTTGTAGATGGCGGCCTTGCTGCTGTAAGACAACTTGCTTGAAGCTCTCAGCATCCAGTCGAGGGTTTTTAGCTTGCTTTTGCATTTTGAGGTTACTTGACTTATGTGCGCTTTAAAAGTCAGCCTTCTGTCAAGAGTGATACCAAGGTACTTTACTTTTGAGGCTTTGGGAATAGTGGGCCCCAATGCAACGCTTGGGCAATCTCCTCTTCTAGTGGCGAAGGTAGTATGTACAGACTTTTGTGCATTAATGGTGATACACCACCGTTTTGCCCAGCGTCCGAAAGAGTCCAGATATTTTTGTAGTGAGTCTGAAGCTTCTTGCGCAGATACGTGACGTGATAAGATGGCGGTGTCATCTGCATAGGTCGCTATGAGTACTGCATCTGTACTTCCTATATTTGGCTCGGGAGTTGGCATATCTCCTGTGAATAAAGTATAAAGTGTTGGGCCTAGAACACTACCCTGTGGTACTCCAGCCATAATTGGTCTAGTCAAGGATACTGTTTGCCCCCTTGACACTTGGAAGGTTCTTCCAATAAGGTATGAGGATAGCAACGCGAAAAATGGGGCTGGAAGGGTGGTCCTCACTTTCTGCAGCAGTCCCAGGTGCCAAACTCGATCAAACGCCTGTTTGATGTCTAAAAAGACGGCAGAGCAGTACATCTTTTCTTCAAAGGCTCCAAGGATATGGTGCACAACTCTGTGAACCTGTTCCGGTGTTCCATGCTGTCTCCTGAAGCCAAACTGATGGTTTGGAATGGCCTCCTGGCGTCCCAGATGTGTCAGTACTCGTTCCAGAAATATTCTTTCGAATATTTTGGAGAGTACTGGCAACAGGCTAATTGGTCTGTACGACTCAATTTCTCCCACGGGTTTGCCAGGCTTAGGAATCATCACAATCACGGCGCGCTTCCAGCAGGCTGGAAAGTGCCGGATGCGGAGCATGGCGTTGTACACCATAGTTATGTAGTCTATGGTGGAGTCAGGCAGTGCTCTAAGGACTCTGCCGTTTATTAGATCATATCCAGGGGATTTTTTTGCCTTCACTCTTCTGATGTGTTCAAGAACCTCTTCTTTTGTACATCCAGTTATCTGGTCTTCAGCTGGGAGGGGCGAGAGAACGATGTCTTCTGTTGCTTCGATTTCTGAGGCCTCTGCGGTAATCACCGGCGTGAATTGGTCTTGAAGGTGGTTTGCAAAAGCCTCAGCTTGAGCTTCGTCTCCAATGTGCCAGGAACCAGAAATGCTCCGAATGGGATGACGTCGTATTGGCTGCCGTTTGAGCTTTCTTGTAAATTTCCATAATTGAAACTCTGCGTCAGTGGGCGATTCAGCTCGTACCAGCGCATCGCTGATACACCTCTTTTGAAGCAGGGCGAGAGCAGCTTTAAGATGCCTCGTGGCTTCGTTGTACATGGATTTGGCATCAGGCGTGCGTAATCTTAACCAGCGTCTCCTGGCCCATCTTTTGTGTATTAGTAGGTGTTGGGCCTCCAAGGTGAGGGGGATGTTGTACGGAGACTGTTGTCTTGTTTGGCAAGATGGTGGGGCGGCTTGGTGCGCAGCTTTGACTATTTCTTCCTGCAGTTTGTTTGCTGCGTAGTCCACGTCTTCAGGAGTGTTAAGTTCCATTTCTATGTGCAAAGAGTAATGGAGCTCGCGCCTAAAGACTCCTAAATCTGATCCTGCTGGCAGTAGTTGTTTCCTAATGGGCAAGGGCTGTGGCTGCGCGTGGATTGTGACTATTAGTGGCAGGTGGTCAGAGGATAGGTCCAAGGATTCTTCAATGGTCAATTGCCGGTCACAGATGCCTTTGTAGACAGCGAAGTCGATTGCCGAGGGCCTGTGTCCATTAATTGGGTAACGGGTGGGGGCTCCAGTCGCCAATATGCTGAATTGTAAGTTTTGAATCGCCTCAAATATGACTTCTCCGCGACGATTCGCACTATTGCTTCCCCAAAATGGGTGCCATCCATTCCAGTCGCCGCCGATGAGGGTCTTATTCAACCTTTGGCCTAGAACCTGTTCCATGTGATGATCACACAGACCAGTGTTTGGCGGAAGATAAATTGACGCAACTTCGATCGCTCCAATAGACGTAGGCAGGGTGATGGCTGAGACCTGCATTGTTGCGTTGCAAATTGGCAGTAAAGGTGTATGCGGTATTGTTGCTCGTATGAGGATTGAGGATCCACCAAAGCAGTTTGCTCCTTCACCATGAGCCTGATAGTGTTCGTATCCGAAAATTTGTGTAGTGGGGCACTCATGAGTTTCTGTTATTAACATTATATCTATGTTTTCTTGTGAGAGAAACGCAGCCAGTTCCTGAGTCTTGTTTCTCAGGCCATTGGCGTTCCAGATACCCACACGTAAAGCCATTATTTGTAGGCAAGCTTGGTTATGATGGCCATTAAACTGTTTAGCATGGTTGCTTGTTGGGATTGTACTTCTCGCATCGCTTTGAGCTCGGCATTAATTGCGTCAAACTGACGTTGTTGTTGCTGAAGCATTTCAGTGAACAAAGTGTCACTTGTGGTATTCTTATTTGACGGTCCACCTCTAGCGGCCTGTGCGTAAGAAACACCACTAATAGGCGTTGCAAAGCTCGTGGCTTGGGTAATGCTCCGGGGCCTTGTAATTTCGGAAGCAGTACTCGGACCCGTAGACGGTGTTTGTGTGGGACTCCTTTTTTGTGCTGGGGATTGCAATTTGCGCAACCGCTTGTATACTTGGCAGCCCTTATAGTTGGCTGGGTGCTGTAACTCACAGTGCACACAAGTTGGTGCCTGGTCCTTTTCGCGGGTGCAGTCTTTGGATGCGTGTTTCCCGGCGCAACGCACACATCTGGGAGCTTTGTGGCAGTAGCGTTGTGTGTGTCCAAATTCTTGACAGCGATGGCATTGTGTCAGGTCGTTGTATCTTCTTGGCAGTTCCACTGTGCAGCGTTGCCTGCAGACAACTCGAATGTCCAAAATTTCTTTGTTGTTGGGGGCCTGAGCCACGTCAACAAAAAATATATTTAGCGGTGTTTTGTCCATACGGCTCAGTGGGTTGTGCACATTTGTAATTGTGTGGCCTTTGGTTTCCAATTCCTTTTTAATTAGTGTTGTATCAGTGCTGGAGTGAAGCCCTTTGAACACGACTCTATATGGTTTGTCCTCCTTAAGCTGGTAGCAGTGGAACTCCAATTCCAGCTTAGTAAAGTGGTCTATAACTCTGCGATAGTCCTCACTGCATTGGGTTAATACACCTATGTTATTCTTCTTTGGCTTAATTACGTATGATTTAGCATCAATTACTTTATCTATTATCTGTTGAAGTAGGGCCACAGACTTGATGTTTGGACACCATATGGGGGGCGGACGAGGTTTCGGAGTAGTTTGCTGGTCGGTCAATACTGGGGCTTCTGGAGCTACAGGTGATTCGCTGTAGTCTTCATCTTCTTCTACGAGCAGTGAAAATCGATTTTCTGATATTAATGCTGCATTGCTGGTGCTTGGTTCGTCGAAGATGAGCCTTTTCTTGATGGTTTTTGGTGAATTTGGCTGTTTACGTTTCGTGTTTTTGTTGTTAGTGATGCCTTGCACGGAGGCGATATCTATTTTTGAGTTTATTGGCATGATGGAGGCTTGCCTATTTGCCATCACAACGTTAAGCTGGGCTTGCATTTCTGCATTTACCTTTACAGCTGTAGCGAGGTTATTGACATTAGATGTCATCGCGGATTGTGCTTTTGAGTGCAGGCGCACTCGCGCCAAGCGACGAAATTTCGTAAATTGCAATTAAAGCAATTGAGTTACGCGGAAGCAAGCGATAAGAAAACGCTGCGTGTGCGGTTTTTGTTGCTGTTGCGTTGAAGAATGCACCGCAAAGTTCTATTTTTAGAACTCTGCAGCAGTAGAGCTTAAGCGAAGGCTGTTCGAATTCACGTCTTTACAGGTCGAACGACTGATCGCGATTGTGACTCGACTCTATATTTTGATAGTTGATTATAGATCAGTCAGCAAATCAGGTATGTATGGAGAGATATAGTCACGTTTTGCGTGTACGTCCAGACGTACGGAGGCTGAACCCAAAAGATCATCATTATCATTATCACTAATCATGATGGGCCACCCTCGTTTATTTTGCTAGCGAAATCAAAACATTTACATAAAACGCAATTGACACACTAAATATAAAAACCCTTTTTTTTTTTTTCTAAATTTGCCTCTTGTTCTACAATCTAAACGTTGATCGTCTGGCCAATACTTGAGGCAGCAGCGGTAAAAGTTCAAGGTTTTCCGATCGATTAAGCACTTTCTGGCTCTCGCTCTCTCTCTCTCTCTCTCTCTCTCTCTCTCTTTGAAGTCATATAAAGCACACACAAACAGACGGTTTCCCTCTCTCTCTCTTGATCATTTTATCTCATTCATATATATATATATTTTTTTTGGCGTCTGTTAAACGAATAATATAATTGTGTCCGAGTGGAAATGTAGTATAAATAATATAATGCAATGTACTCAGACAAAGGAAACAAAGAGAAAATACGAAGAAAGCAACAATGCAAACATATGTTCTCTAAGTACAAAACAAATTAAATTAAATGACGTTTTAGAATTTTAATTTTCTAGTATTAGGCTACAATTTTGAGTAAAACAAACCTTAAACCATATACTTGCACACATTTCCCTACTTCAATATATTAGGTACATAATTTCAGTGCCTCTCTTTGCGATTTTCATTAAACTAAAGAACTTTATATTAGAAGTTTAGTTAGAGTTATCAAATAACAAAATATATATGTTACATTTGCCTTAAGTTTGATGTCTGAGACACTCTGCTAAAAGGGGGATAAGTACATATATATTAAATATATTTATATTACGATATCAAATTGTTGGTGGCACACGCTAGCTAACTTTCAGTCAAATTTTCATTGAAATATTCTTAAAAATATTTGAAGCGAGTTTCGCTGTTTAACTTTAATGGAATTCTTAGTGCAATGCTTCGCATGAGTCGCTCGCTTTGCAGATAAGAAAGTACAAGAAAAGCTTAATTATCAGTTAAACGGTGCCTGGTACATACACCCCATAAATAAAGCGGCCCAGCAGCAGCAGTCACACACAAAAAAACAAACAAAAACTTTTAAAGAAATGTTTAATTCGAATATAATAAAAATATATAAATAAATCTTTACGTGTGGTTAACATTAGTTAACTTGCGATTTACTTAATCTCTAGAAATATAGAAATAAATTAGGTCATTTTGATTGAATCATCGAAAGGCAAAGCGGATATTTATAAAAGCAATAGAAAATATTGCCTAACGGCCAGTTGTCTGGAATATCTATCTCCATATATAGATATATTTTCAACTATTTACTAATTTAATATTATAAAAAATTTATTGTACATTTTCCAGATATTTTTGTTTATATTAAGAATAACAAAGTAGTAATACGCGCCGCAAATGCTTAAAAAATCAAAATAGAAAGTTGAAGCTGACTAAGTTAAAGAGAGACACAGAGCGTGAGAGATAGAAATGGGACGAGAAAAGAGAGCGTAAAAGCGAGAGAAACAACGATAGAGGGGGCGTTAATTGTCAAAATGTATTTGAATGTCTATGTGTGTATATATGTATATGTGCATGTCTGTCTATTTTCATATGTATGTGTACGTCATTGTACGTATCGATTTGTTTGTCTCCTTTTTTTGGCATTGAAATAGTACATTTTCTGTGTTAATCAATTTGCAATGTGACCAATTGCATTTAAAAAAATTAAAAGAAAAAAATACCATAAAGTTATTTATTAATATTTGAGCTTGCGAATGTTGCCTGGCTTGTCTTTAAAACGTTTTCACGTTATTTGTGTCAATTACAAATTAACATATGGACGTTTCACACTTAATCTGATATATGACACACTCACATACACATGCACACTAACACACACATACACACGCATAAAAGGCGATCTGGTGCGTGTTCAGTAATCAAATTTAGTTTATACGCCCCGCTTAGCACTTGGACAGCAAATGGAATGGAACACGAATTGGGAGTAAGGTGCCTCATATATATAGAAAATTTAACAAATGTACTGTAATATGCGATAAGCAGCGATTAAAAAGCAACCTAATTCAACTACCATTATTAACGCAATTTATCAGATTTATTTTAAGTAAAATTTTCAGACATAATATAGTACAAATAAATATGCATAAAATCAACAGCTCGTTATATAGAATATAATAGTTGATATGGGCGCTTTACCCCGGGGTAAATCAGGCCAAAGATTAGATAAACAATTCACGCAGAATGAGCCGCCCTCAGGCGTATGATATGTACACATGTATATATTTTGACATGGATACAAGTGAAATTAACAATGACGCTTCGCTGACGACAATACAGACATAAATATATGTATGTTGTGTGATCACACATAGCATACATGCACGAACGCACATAGTAACTGTAAATATCAGTGCCTACTCTGATTATTTGTACATCTTTCTCTCTCTCCCTGTTTCTCTCTTTCACATTCAGTCATAACAATGAGAAGAAAACGGTTTAAAAAAAGATCTTTGATTTATTCAATCAAAACGACAACAGACAACACCGAGCAACTAAGCCTAAGTTACAACATGCTTCAACTGTGGTGAATCTGGCTTGTATGTGTCCATCTGCTTCTATTACTGTGTGCGTGTATTTGTGCAGTGTTTATTTCACCACAGCAGAAAAACGTTTTGGATTAGTGGGAGTGATATATATATATATATATATATATATATATGCGTGTGTATGGACATGAATAGCGTAACATGTTGCTATCGTTTAAACTCCCACCTGCCTTTGCTTAAAATAGTGTGGCCAAAATACAAAAAAAAAGTGGTCTACAACTTACATTACTCCACTTGAAACACTAAAATCTACGATACAACATTGCCTTTGCATGGAAACTAAAAACCGAAATACAAAGAGCCAGAAGTTAGTCGTTACAAGGAAACCGGTTTAGCAATAAACCAATACAAATGCCATGAAACTTCATCGCATGCAGGTGTGTGTCGGTATATAAGCAAGTGTGAGTAGATGAGCCGGCATTTGTCACCGGCAGCAATTGTTGCCTCTGCACGCTCTTTCATTTGAAACATACGTACATGCATAAGTTATGTGTATGGGTTTCTATTGCATTTGGCATGCAATTTAACTGTAAAACAACAGCAATCACACCATAGATAAAAACTGAGCGAAACGGAAAGACAGAGAGAGCGCGAAAATCTTCCAAGTGGAGTAAATGACGCTTTTTCTGAACGAGTTTATCGACGACATTCACCCAACTCAGCAACAAGAAACAGCAATGAGAACGTGAGAGTAAAAACTGATGGCTGGCAAGCAGGCAGCAGGCGGCTAACAGAGGCGTTTACCGGCTTGCATGAGTGACTCATTCGACCGTTTCGTAAGCCAGAAAAGTCAGTGAGCGAAATGCCGTATGTTTTCGACTAGTTCTGTTACCAAAAAATTTAATTTAAAAATTCTACAGTGATTCACAATCTATAATTAAGCACCTTATTATTCCATAGTATGTTTTTTTTTTAACTTTAAAACATCTAAAAACATAAAATTTGAATGCAGTTAAAAGAATTTAAATACTCTTAATAATAATTAATAATAACTTTTTGATTAAAACAGAGTATAAAGACGATCTCTTCAATAAAGACATATTTGCAATGATATATATATTTATATATTGAAACGCATTTGGTTTAATTAACTTGTATTCATTTGAGCTACAACCACGGTGCAAGGTATTCTTATAAGAATATGTTAAGCGACGGTTGTTCGTCTCAACAAGTGGTTTCCACTTACACACACACACACACATTCACAATGGAGACTAGAGAATCTAACTACGTGCTTCATTCAATAGATTTGGGGAATATAAATACAGTTACCGTAAATATGTATAAAACAAACTCACCTGTAAATGCTCTTGAAAGCGTATGGGTAACGGTTGCGTCATCTTGACGGCTTGTTATTTTGACTCTCTGGTTGGGAGTTGCGAGTTGTTGTTGTATGCTACTCCTCTGCTCTCTTTTAATTGTTGGTCTTTTTTATTATTTCGACAGAGATAACACACGCACTTTTATTATTTTTTGATAAGTGTTAGTAAAAAAAAAACGGGAGAGAATACGAATACTGTTGTCTGCGTCAACGTTGACGTTGACTTTTGTTTAAGTTTTTTTTTTATGCTGATTGATCTTCTTTTCTTTTGGTCGTTCGTTGTTTGTTGATTTCTTATTATGTTTCGTCTCGGTTTAGATTTTTAGCAATTTTGTTTCGCGTTGCTTGTGAAGACACACCAAAAACTGTGCAAAGAAAGAACGGAAAAAAATACATATGTATTAATTGTGCTGCAAAATATTTGTTGCTCTTGTTATCACTAGAAAGTGCGGCTGCAGCGGCTCCGCCTCTTAAACACAAAAAAAGGTCGTAACGTAACGGTTATCCCCCCACACACACCAAACAGAAGCACACACACACAAAGGCACGAAAGCACTGCCGAAATGTGGCGAAAAATTGGCTTGTTAAATAATAGTTTTATTAACAATCAATCAACAAATTTATTTACAATTTGTAGTATTTATTCACTTGAATTTTCACATATTACTTGCGCACGACCGTTTGTCGGCATATACAACAAAATATTAATGAATCGACACGGCCGACAACACTGACAGACATAATAACAAGTACGAGTCAGTGACAGAACGGCCCCTATGGTGTGTTACAACGAAATACACCACAGCTGAGACTTGTCGTTTGTGCTAGTAGTGGTGCATGACAAAGTCAAATAATGAAATGTCAAAATGCGCGCCGTATAAGTGTGACCACATACATTTGTTGAACGAGCCAGTTCATAAAATAAGCTTTTATACTACAGTTTTTTAGTTACTTAAAAAGACAAAATAAAAGATAATTTTCATTTTCAATAACTAAGTCGCTCATTTGTTTCAATATGAGGCAACACTGCTACTTCTTCATAGCTCACCACACTGTCAGCCATGTTGAGTTGCGCTCCGACACACTTACTCACACACATACATACTTGCATGCTTGCCCATACACACACACACACGCATACTTAATAATGTACGTGTGAAGTAGTGAAAAAATTGCTTGCTATGTACATATGTATAAAACACACTTTTTGCATTGATTTTTGCCACGCAGCAATATTAACAAGAACTTTAATGATGCAGTTTGGCAAAATGAATTGTTAAGCCCCCAGGTTACGCACATATAACAAGACAAAGCATCAAAATTGCTTTGAACACGTATGCCACATAAACAAAAAAAAAACGTTCGGTTAGCAGGAAAAACACCGCCCACTAACACATAGGGCCTGAAATACAGTTTTCTCTGTACAAGCGTTGTGCCGCCTGTCCGCCCAACATTTCTTGCAAGTGCATCATCATGTAATATAATATAATATATAATTTCTAGTTTAACGCCAAACTATGTCAAAAAGTTGTTTTTTTTTTTGCTGTTTTTGCGAAGGAGGCGGAGGCGTACCAGTTTGTTGTTGTAGGTTAACAATTGCACGTCTGCACGAACACACGACGATACGATTTACATTGAACTTTTAACACATTATTCTTATTCGTTAAAAAATACACGAAAGAGCAAAAATTACATTGAAAAAGAAGTATGAATGAGACGACGTTGGTCACTGCAAGCTAGGGATGTACGGCGAATATATATCGATGACAGTCAATTGCAGCGGTAATCGAATGCTTTTAAATGCACAGGATATGGGCATCGAATGAATAAATACAATAATAACTAACCGGATTATAATAACACATACCACCTTTTATGTGCAATGCTTTGTAATTTAACGTCGTTGTGATCTCTAATGAAGGGCTTAATATAATTATCCCTTTCTTAGATTATTTATCGTGGCTAACGTTAACAGAACTGCTCCACTAATCAACAGAATTGACTCCTCAGCAAACTTGGACTCTCGCTCCTTTTAAATAACACAAAATATCGTCCATCTTTAAACTCTCCAAGCCGAACAGTGAATGAAGTTGGCGGTGCGCAAAAGTAAATTATACTTAAATTTTCAATTTATAAACTCATTTTTAGAAGCAATTCCGCATAAAGGCAGTGCACGTGATGTGCATATAAACAGTTTATAGTTTTGGTTATATCCATGTTATTGTTAAAGCGAGCACTGGCAGCGATTTTCCACTGCATTCGTTCGATGTTTTAAAAAAAAAACACGCGCGTTGCGCGTCGTACGGAACATATTCAAAAGTTGTTTGCTCTGTGCATGTTTGCGTGCGTGTGTGTGTGTGTGCGTGTTCGTGTTCGTGTGTATGTTTGTATGTATGTGCTTGCTTTATTAAACATTAACATTGCGAAAAATCAATACACAAGTCCCTCAGTGCTTGTGTGCTGTGCACCGCGTGCGGCATTTGTGCAAAAATTGTGTTAAACAAAAAGGATATCCCAAGGATAACGCCAGCAAAAGGCGCTTGGCGGTAGGGGCCAAGCAACACGCGCCCAACGCATCCAAAACGAGGTAAAAACATTGTCAATACATATGCAAGCATGCATGCTTGCGTACGTGTGTGTGTGTGCATGTATGTACATCCTTGCAACTAAATATAAACAGTCGGCGATGTCGCTGCCACAAATAAATAAATGGCATCAAATAGAAACAAACATTCTCTGAATATAAATATGTATATGCATATGTATATGTACAATCTGCACATTGAAAGATCTGAGCGCGTTGGATTTGTGTTTATATTGTTATTTAATTGATGCCTTTGTCTCCATATGAATTGCCAACTTCATTTCAAGCAGCTAAATATGCATAATTTGCGCCTGACGCGACGCTCGGCCCGGCTTTATATTTATTTAATTTTTTTCCTTTTATTATTTTTTTGCTGCAGCAGCAACTCTTGTGATTTATTTTGCACACACACACAGCTAAATATGCAAAGCCTAAAAGAGAGAGAGAGCGGGAGAGACATTGCATGTGTATTTGTACTTCCTTTTGCTGCTTTGACTTTGTTGTTGCTGTTGCTGCTTTTGTTTGTTATTCCGGCATGTTGGCGCTCCTGTGAGCAAGAGAGACAGCAAAACATGCTGGCTCATTCTTTTTGATTTGCCTGCATTTTGCTCTCCTGCTGAGTTTTTGCATTCACGTTTCTGATTGGGATGTATGTGAGTTCTGTCTTTCTAGCGGCCAAACAGCAGAAAGCAACTATTAGTGGTATTCCTGCAAGTGCATGCAGCATGTGCCTATATATGTATGTAATTTTGCGGTATATTATATCTCTATTTAAGAACCATCAGTTTTAATAGAATTTACTTTATAAAGTTGTTAGCTAAACAAAAGTATTATATTACGAAACCTAACACTAAACATGAATGTTTATACAATACATACATATAACGCTCACATTGTGCGGCGAAACTCGTTAAATACCTTCAAATTTTGTATTTCTGTTTGATTTCGTTAATTTTGAAATCAACGTCTCGCAACAACAGTTAAAAGCTGACTGCTATGACAGCGGTCCGGTAACAATATATCGATAACATGTATATTCAAATAGCGGCAACTCCATTTAGGAACTCTCTTTTTGCTTGTTGGTCCCATATTGTAGCTGCTTATTTATTTATTTTCTTTAAATTTTTTTGTTGATACATTGCTGCATTAAAGCATATTTTTGTATTCATGTTCATGTGAATGTTTAGATTCATGTGGATTAGGCTTTTAAATCGTGCTTAGGGACTGTTATCGCAGTTAAAATAATGTAAAATCAAATTAACATGATATATATACAGAATGCAAATGCTAGCAAGCGAGCGAATTGAATTATTTAAATATGTATGTATGTATGCAATAAATTTGTAACAAGTTTTCCACCCCTAATTATTAAAATGTGCTGCAACTGCATTTTACAAATTCGTCCATTACTCGAATTTGCTATTCTTGTTTTTCTGTCAACTTTTTCGTTTTGTTGTTGTTGGTTCTTACGTCTTAAATGCTATTTTTGTGTTACAGTCTCCCTTGTTGTCGTTTCTGGAGTAGCATACATAGACACACATATACACATTCATATATATATGCATACATATGTATGTATGTTTTTTATTGTTTCCTTTTTCTCAAAAATATGCTGTTTTTTGTTTTTGCCAATTTTGCTTTAGTCTTGTACCGGAGAGCAAGCACGCCGGGACTAGGGGTTACTGTTCGTGCTCTCCGACCTCTCGCTCTCTCGAAAGAACAAGGAGTTTGTTTTTGATCTTTGTTTTTTGTTTTGCCTGCGCACTATTTTTGCGCTATGCAGAAATTGACAGTAAAAAATCATAGTTTAAAGTGTCAAAATTCACAACAGTTATGTATGTAAAAAAAATAATATTCTGTTAAATTGATATGTACTATAATAGATTAAATATTTATTACACATAACCGTTGCTCCAATATCCATTTGGTTGTGTTTCATCTCTTTCGTACTCTTTCAATAACAAATCGTTGAGTCTGACGCTTGCGGTTTTGGCTTCTCTTTTGATTAAACATACATATGTATGTATTCGAATCCCTTTTTGTCGTTTTTTTTTTTTTGGCATTATCTGGCAAATATATATATATATATATAGTTATGTATAGGTAGAGTGAGAACCAAACAGGTACAATAACATTGGCACACATTTATGCGCTTTGCATTTTTAGACAACTTCAAGGGAATAACGGACTAAAACGTATCTAAAAATTCTAATCTATATTTACAGCATTTACAATTGTATGCACATTATTTCAAACTATTGTTAAATATATATTTTTATTAGTATAAAATAGTTTAATGTTATACACCATTAAATCCTGTAAATATGAACAAATTCAAATTAAACAGTGCAATTTAAGTATGATTGATGTAAATATTTTGAAATTGTTTACATTTAAATGATAGCTCACACCACTGTACTGCCTTATACAACTTCCTTCGCTCAATTCCACGTTACTGCGCCGACTCGCTCTTTCAATTTCTCTCATTCTGTCTCCGCGTTTGTGTTTTTGCATTTGTGTGTGGATGCCATGCTCCCTTGTTTTTTGTTGTTCCTGCTTTGCTCGCTGCTTCCTTTCTGCCTTTGTATAATTCGAAAATGCTAAAGTAAAGTGCTCAAAATTGCTCTGCTCTGCACCAGCAGCACCACAAGCAGAAGCAGCATATTTTTGTGTCTCTGCCTCTCCTCTAACCACAAAGGCAAGCAGCAAGCAGCTGCCTGTGTGCTTTCCTGGCTCGCTCCATCGTCTCCATCGTTTTCGTTGCCTTCGCCTTCGTCGTCGTCGTCGCGTCGTCGGTTGTTGTTATGCTTGATTTTTATTACTTTACTTTTTCAGTATAATTCTTTGTCTTTTGGCGTTTGTTTAATGCAAAAAGAAAGAAAAAAATGAAAAGACCAAGACAAGAACCAGCAGACACGCACACACATACACACATGAACGCAGGCACACACACAAACGCAATAACTGAAGATACCAAAAAGGAAGAAGCACAAACTACATTAAGCACAGACACAGGAGTCTGTACAAAATAAAATTTTTGCGCAACGCGCTGTGTCACATTGCAAAAAGGGCGAAGAAGTCGCCATTTAACAACAAAAACTATTAAATTCTCACTTAAACAAACGAAAGCGAAAATTATAAATTATAAATTATTAAATTGTGTGCAGGCAGTGTAAAAAAAAAAACAAAAAAAAAAGAAGAAAAAACTAAACCTAACAAAAAAATCAATTTCAATTTAACTTCATTTCAATTGTACATTTTTTACAATTTTTATTTATATGCTTTGATATTGGAGCTAAACGCTCTTTTTTTTTTTTATTTAATTTTAATTTTCGTTTGGCGCTCGCATGTGGAGGCTTATTGGGAGGAATCATAACAACAACAACAACTTAACTTTGGGTAATAATAGTATAAACAAGAAAATGTACAAAAACATAATCAATGAAAAAGTTGCCTTCGTCCTTGCTTAGGACGTTACAGAGTGTGAATCAAGTGAATGCATTCTAAAGTCATATGCAGCCATTGTAGTTATATATATATATATAAAACAAAACATATGTAAAATATATATTAAGTGAATAGTTGTTTGAGTGTCTCAACTTTACTGTTATATACTTGGCGAATATTTGAATTATATGAAAGTGAGTGAGAATGTGATTGTTATCGAATATGCGAATGAATATTGTGAACGAAACGAATGAATCTTGACAGATAAGTTTGAATGGCATTTGAACACGTATAAAAGTATTTAATTTGTGTATATATTTAGTACGAATGCAAGTGAATACTTTGAATGAAGTGAATACTTTTTAATTTTATTCGATCTACGCATCATGCGTTATCTTATGTACAAAATATAATATATTTTGTGGAACAGATGCATTAAATTTGTTGAATTCATAAGAATATTCGATATAAATGCAAATGAATACTTTGAATAAATTTAATAAATAAAAGAAATGCCATCAACTATTTATTGAAGTTATATAAAAACTGGAATATATTTGAATGAATAAGTATATATTCAACAAATTTCAATGAATATTCAATATAAATGCAAGTGAATACCTCGAATGAATGACATGAATTACATTTAATATAAGAGTTTCAATATGAATATCAAATGCGTGTGATTACTGTGAATGGAAGAATCCGTGGATATAATCATTCAGTTATTTATTTGTCTTCAATGATCTCAATATTAAATACCTTGAATAAACCATATACAATTTCTTAGTTTTTGTTGTTTAGTAACTTCCTCATTTAGTTTAAATAATACAGTATTCATTGAATAACTTGTGAGATTTTCCAATGTTGTATAATATTTAGCAAAAGATTAACTATAAATTGTTTATATTTTTCGATTTATCTTAGTTTTCTCTTTTATACATTTTCTTGTAGATAATCAAGCACGCATCGAGCTTCCCTTAGAGCTTCCATTTTCGCTGGAGTTGGTCAGCGATTGTAAATTGAAGGCGTGTTGGGCGCAACAACAACAACAACAACAACAACAACAATTAGACCACCACCACCAACAACGAGTACAAGAACAAAAGCCACAGCAATAACAAGAAGAGCAGCAGCACAATGTCCGCCGCCACACAGGAGTTTTGCGTGCGCTGGAACAGCCATTTGGGCAGCATTGGCGCCGCCTTCCCACAGCTCTTGGCCGGACAGAGATTCGTAGATGTGACGCTGGCCTGTGAGGGCCATCAGGTGCACTGCCATCGTCTGGTGCTGGCCGCTTGCTCCACATACTTTGAGGCCATACTTGCCGAGAATCCGTGCAAGCATCCGGTCATCATACTGCCCAGCGAGATCAAGCTGTGGGAGATTCAGGCCCTGGTCGACTTCATGTACAAGGGCGAGGTGAATGTGACGCAGGCTGGCCTGGGCCAACTGTTGCGCTGTGCCGAGCAATTGCGTATACGCGGCCTGTACGGCTCCGAGGCGGCCATCAACTACAAGCAGCTGCAACAGATGCGTCAGGATGCGGCATCGCAAGATTCGGCAGCTTCGGTCAAACAGGAGCAACAGCAACAACACCAGCAGCAGCAGCAACACCAACAACAGCAACAGCACTTGGACAGCACTGAGACGGATGATACGGCCACCAACTCAACGACATCGACAACAACAACAAGCACAACGGCGCTGTCTGCTAAGCAACAGCAGCAGCAGCAGCAGCAACAATTGCTACTGCAACAGCAGCAACAACTGCAGCAGAAGGAGCATCGTCAGCGCCAGCAGACGAACGGCAACAATGCGTTGCAATTGCAGCTGCTGCAACAGCAGCAGCAACAACAGCAGCAACAACAACAGCAGCAGCAGCAGCAACAACTAAATGCTGGCTCTTCAGCGGCTGCATCGAATAATTCGAATGCACCGACCGAAGATGATTCAGCGGATGATGCGAGCAACAATTGGAATGTCTATAGCGAGCACTACGAAGACTTTGCCGCGGCTGGCAACAATAAACTGAATGTACAGCTGCTGCAGCAGCAACAGCAACAGCAGCAGCAACAGCAGCATCAGCAGCATTTACAAATGCAACACCATTTGGACTCGACCATCGAGGACGATCACAACTATGTGGCTGCGCATGATGAGGATAACGATAGCAGCGGTTTTGCCGGCAATGTGGGCAGCACCAGCGGCATGGCCAGCAATGTGGCTGGGCTGTCGCTCAGCATGGACGCCGATTTGGATACGTCGGCCAATACATCGGGCTCGTCGCTGATGCACAGCTCCATCGATGGCTATACATCGTATAAGCGAGTGAGACGCTCGGAGGCTTCGTTAGCGCAGGCCGCCAAATGCGTGTCCAAGGGCGAAACCTTTCAGACCGTGAGCAACATGTTCAACATACCCGTATCCACCATACGCTTCTATATGGCCCGCAAGGGCATATTGCCGAAGCGTAAGCGTGGCCGTGGCGCCTCACATGCCGGCAGCACCATCACAACAACAACGAGCTCGGGCAACTCAGCTGCTGCAGCAGCGGCGGCAGCAGCTGCAGCTGCCACCATGGCGGCGGCAACGACATTGGGCAGCCTGTCGACAGCCGGTGCGCATCATTTGCCCCACCATTTGCCACTGGATGCCATACAGTTGAAGCGGCTGACAAATGCTAGCGGTGGCATCGCCACCAGCCCCTCAACAACAGCGACAACGGCAACGGCGGCAACAGCAACAGCAGCGGCGGCTGCAATGGCAGCGGCAGCAGCAGCTGCCACGTCAGCACCGACCACGCCCCGACTGGAGGTGGCAACGGCGGCCGGTGTACCCTTTCACCTGCTCAGCGATGCGGCGGCCTTCAAGCTGAGCGAACAGCAGCAGCAGGCGCATATAATCTAACCATGAGGTTGGCTTCGCTTGCATTTACTCCATATGTGAAACGTGAGAGTGAGCCGAGCTCTGTTGGACAATCGAAAGCTATTGCGGAATAGGCCCGAGATGCAACTACTCATTGGCTAAGATAACACACACACAAACACACACACATGCATACACACCTGCATACAACTACACACACACACACACACACTCATGCGTAGTCGCTTTAAAAGCAATTCTCCCCCTCTCAATACAACTGTTCCTCAAATAACAAAAAAAAAAAAGAAGAAGAAATGCTGACATTCAACAATGAGCTGCTACAGTTGAGACACAGATCTATCTATATACATATATAGATATATATAATAATGAACGTATATATTAGTTGTAAATATACATATATATACAATATATATATGTATATAGGTATATATACATATTTTTTTAATCTAATGTTTTGCCTTTAGTCAGCTACATATTGAACTATGAATATATATATATATATATATATATATAAATATATATGTATCTGTATATGTACTATACAAAACATACGTACACAGATGACGTATGTTTTGTATGTTTGGCAAAACTCCTCTAACCCGCCCCTAATTGTATGTATCGCTTATAAGACTTAGGATTAGTTTTACATTGTAATATAGTATCATGACATTGTTTTTTTTTTCATGCCGGCGATATACTCCACACAACAGAACAACTAACCCAATCCAATCCAATCCAACCCAAGTCAACCAACAACAACAACAACAGCAACAGCAAAACATTTTGTCCAATACAAAAGGAAAACACATAACATTTTGTGCAGTTAACAGACAGTACAATAATAAATAATAAATAATAATAATTATAACTATAGAAGAAGAAAAGGAGCCAGTTGCCTGCGTATATAGATATAAAACATTTCATATATTGGGCACAAATAGAATGGTGTTTTTTGTTTTGTTGTTATTACAATAGTCATAAATTTAAAAGAGAAATGTAAAAAGTCAACAACAAACACAGAAATGCATCTAACAGCAGCAACAACAAGAACAACAACAACAATCACTAGCGCTTAAGACAGCACTTTAGCTGTACAAATAAAGAGAGAGACAACACGAACAAAACACATTATACTTAGTAAGTGAAGCAACAACCTCTATATATATATATATATATATATATATATATACATATGTGTATATATATAGCAGACATATACTCGATATTGTTTTAAATGCCATTTCATTAGACTTATTTAGCATGTTTCGCGATCTGCTTTGTAATCCATAAGTTGCATCTAAAGACTTGAGAGTTAATTATTATGATTACTATTCTTAGCTGCTGGAACGACGCGTTTGGGCCAAGCGGCAACAATTTCGCCCAAAACTTCGTTTGGCAAGTGCATTTAAGCTGTGTAAAGACTTGCAAAAGACTTTTTTCTACATCTATTTAAGTTGCTTTAATATCCAAAACTTAAGACTTTTTTTTACACACACACAAAAGACGTTTATGTTCGGTATATATATATACATATATATGTACCTCTTTTGGGCAGCATTATTTCATTATATACAATTTATACAACTCAAGCTCTGTCTCAATTTCAATGTTTGCCATATTCGTAATTTTAAATGTATTTAATTAACTTTTTTTATATATATATTTTAAAGAAAATGCAATTTCAAGACTTATTTTTTGGCCATAAAAATTTATTGTTTTAGCATATATATATCTATATATAGAGAGAGAAATTTTGGTTTAAAAACTTAACTGCAGTTTCGAATTCGAATTTAATATCGAATTTTGCTATGATCTCTGAAAAGTCGTATGTTTGGAAATGAGTAAACTAAAGCGATGCATATATATACATATATATATATAAATATATGTGTATATATATAATATTATTTTGCAAAATGAAAAATAAAACAAATACCTCGTATACATTGAGCAGAAATAAATAAAAGTAAGCCAGAGCAAGTGCACAGCATTAACAAAAACAGAAAAAAAAACAATAAACAAAAGCGAACAACGCTTATTTTACACATGAAAACAAAAACAGCTTAAAAATAAAACGAATGTTGTTACAATAGTCAAAGGAAACAGGATAAACAAAACGAAAATCAATAAAAATTATAAAAAAAAGAAGCAAAGCCCATAGCAAGCAAATACATATATGTATATAAATATATATATATATCTATTTTTTTTTTAAATCAATTGTAAAATATGCAAAAAGAAATATTAAAAGTTGTGCTGCGGCTTGCTATGAAAGAACTGTATCTATTTTTATTAAAAAACAAAAACAAAAGCAAATGAAACAAAACAAAACAAGAAAAAAACCTATTTTGTTTTGGTCTGCGTTGAAATCTACTAAAAAAAATAGAAAATAAATAAAAATATAAAAAAGTTGCGGGACTTTAGCGCCCAAACATATTCAAATCAAATGCAAGTATTATGTATCAAACACAAAAAAAAAAAAAAAAACAAAAAAATTGCAAACAAAAAACGAAAGAAAATATATATATATTAAGTACATATATATAGAATGTATAACTAAAAAAGAGATAATTATTAAACAGGATAAGCGAGCGCGATTTATGTTTAAATGCGAAACAAAGAAAAAATAAAACAAAAAATAAAAAACAGTTAAATTTATGTATAAATTATAAAATGCGAACGGTAAAAACAGCTGCAGAGACGCAGATGGTATTTTAAATAAAAATTGCAAAAATGATCTGATGAAATTACTGGGTTTAATAGATTATATTCAAAGGCCAGAAATAGTAGTGCTACACCTCACAAAACTCAAACCTAAACCAAATAGAAAGTTACTATTTGGAGCATTCTTTTGTGTACCAAAAAAAAAAACATCTAACTTTATAAAAAAAATATGTTAATCTTAATATTCATTTCGAATAGTTTTTTTAAATATTGAGCTTATCACTAAAATGAGTCGTCCGATATTTGGTGTTCAGTTACACTACTATTTTTTTGAACATATCTATAGACGCTTAAAAGTTAATATATTCTGGCTAATTGTTGCTTTGCCAAGTTTAAAGTATGCAACTGATCGATAACTGCCAATCGATTACACATAAAGAAAAGCTTTAATAGACTGCATACGTCTTAAGATCAATATTAGCTTATTAGCATATGCACAACTTATGAATACCCCATCCACAAACATGTTGCAGATAGAAAGTCGTGATCTTTGCTGTTCTATGGGACAGTTAACGTCAAATTTATTTATTGGTGCTGCACGATGCCCTCTCTAGCTGGATAAACTTTGCGCTTTGTAGTGGCAGATTTTCATCCTTTGCAATAGTCAAATACGAGGTATTCGATTGGCGTGTTCCTGTTGCTCTGCTAAGTTTGGATGCTTTTTGTCTCAACATGTTTGGGCGTTTTCAAATTTTGTCGATTATCAAAAACTGCTTAGTAAAGATGCAGCACTTGAGCCACCAGAACCAAGCAGCAGGCGAACAAGTCGGGCAAAATAATCTTTGAAGTGATTCGATGAAGGGGATTACTCTTCGGAAAAGACCTCGTATCGTTCGAAATTACTTACCTCACATACAATTGCCGCAAATAGACGAAAAGAAAACGGATAGAGAAGTTGTTTAAAAGTGTTTGTTTTATTACATAGATATCATTCGCTTTGTAAACATACCTCGTACATAGATAGTTATGAGTTGTATGCGTTCATGTAGTTAGGTTAGCCCAAAAAATTGTTTAGAATTTTACGAATATGTTGTTCAGACCATCTCTATAATTAGGGCTAATGGGTGCGAGAGCTTTTGTGTTTGGAGGCAGGGCTGGGCATGGGGGCGTGGCCTTGTCAAGGAAGTGGTAGTGCGCGTGTGTGTGTTGCTTAATATATATAAGATAAATTGGTTACAATATATTTATTTTTTATTTTTGTTTGCTTTATTTTCTTGTTGCATGTGTCGAACTCGGATTTCGAACTTCAATTAATTATTACACATGCACGACCATATGCATTAAGTGTTGAATTCATAAGTTGTATATATGTATGTTTGTATGCATATATGTATATATATTTGAATATATAAATTCATGTATATATATATATATATATATATATATATATATATATATATATATATATATATATATGTATAATTATTATTATAATTTTTGAATGTGTGTGCATTGTTTGTTGGGTTTACTTAAGCTCTAAACATTTCATTTAAATAAGTAATATTATGTTTTTTTTTTAAATGTTTTCAAATTCTTTTTTTTTTATTTTTGTTTTTATTTTTTAACTTTGTTTTGTCCACTGCGTACATTGGTTTCCAGCGTGTTTTATGCACTCGATTAAATTTCTCTTAAAATCATACATAATGTATGTATGTATGTACCTATGCATGCATGCTTGTATGCATGTATGCGTGTTTGCTTGTATGTATGTATGCATCTGTATTTGTATGTCTAAATGCACGCTCGTTCGAAATGGCTAAGAATCTGCATTTGCTTACACAAATTGTATTTGTTTTGTTTTTGTGTTTTGTTTACATGTTTTTTCTTTGCTAACACAACAAATATTTATTTATGTTAATAAAAAAAAAATGTGAAGAAAATTTTCTCATATGGTTATCCCCAGTCAAATGAACCAAATAGCTTATACATGTCATTAGAAGTGTTGTGGGTTATGGTGTGTGTATGTGTGTGTGTGCGAGTTTTTAAAAACTAGTTTGTATAAATTGTTGGCTTGCTTTTTAATATTATAATATTTAGTTAGTTCATATTTCGAAGTTTTCATTGTTGAACGTTCTTGTATCTTTTTCGTTTTCTTTTGTTTTTGTTGTTGGCGAAATACAATCATGACAATAATAATTAATTCTTGTATATCGATTATCGTCAAGTGTCATCGTCAAATGTCATTGCCGATATAAGTATGTGTGTGTCTGTTTGTATGCGTGCACACACATGCATACATATGTACTTATGTTATATTGTTACGAGCAATGCTAACATTTAACGTATGTATCTACGTATTTCTACACATTCCTTTTTGTTATTATTTTGTAACTGTATCACAATGGGGTTTCACTTTTCTTTCTTTCCTGTCGCGTTCTCAACTTCTTTCATACTTGCAATTTTTTTTCTTTTTTTTTGTTTTTTTTTTACATTTTTCATTTATTTTCCTATTCCTTTTCATATTTAGTTCATACCATTTTAGCTATAACGAGGCCAAAATTTCAAAATTTCAAAATTTTTTCTTATCACTTACAATGCTGCTTTAGATTTTGTTTTTTGTTGTTTTTTTTGCCAATTTTTTGTTGCTGAATTAGTTAAAAATTTGTTTTTGCTCCGTCTAACTTTGGCCAGCTTAACAGTAGATTGTTTGTGTATGTGTGAATGTGTATGTGTTTGTGTTTCTATGTGTGTGTGTGCATTTTTGGCAATTGTGCGCTGTCAAACTGTTTGTTTTTGTTTTTGCTTTTGGGGCCAGCTTTGTTTAAATGCATTTTTCCACTTACTTCATAACCAGCGGCTGGCTTTTGATAAATGTATGTATGTTTGTAGTATGTATTGTATTGCATGTAGTTATAGGTCTCTATATGTACCCATGTATGTATGGTATGTACATATATACATACATATAAAGGCATATATATAAATATATAAATATATAAGTATATATATAAACAAAATGAATGATTTAAACATAAGATATTCATACGACGCTTGAAGCAAAGTAAACAACACACAAAAAATTATCCTGGTTATCAAAATACATAGTTATATAATAACGGCATACTTTTCTTTTGTTTGTTTCATCTTATTTTGGCTGCTTGTTGCGTTTTTGTATTTTTCTTTTTTTGTTTTGTTTTGCTTTGCTTTGCTTTTTATGTCTTGCTAAACAAAAACACGAAAACGAATCGTTAGCGATACGTTGCGTTGAGTTACGTTGCAATTATGTGACGTTACGTTACGTGGCGTTGCGTAATTTTTCTTTACTTTTTGGTTTTTTCAAAAGTTGCATTTTTCATACTTTCAAAAATATATGTTCTATATATCATTTTTGTATATGTACATATATATATATATATTTGTAAAAATATATACACATATATATATAAATATATATAGATAAGAGAGAGATAGAGAGACCGAGACAGACACAGTAATTGAAATGGTTTAAGAGACAGAGAAAAATTGTGTACGTGTGTGTGTATGAGTGTATGAGTGTATAAGTGTAAGAGAGAAAGAGAGAGAGAGAGAGAGAGTTACTGAGTGCGAGTTGCAGTTAAATTTTACAATTTTTTTCAATTTTTTTTTTGTTATTTTCTTCGTTGCATCTTTTCATTCAGTTTGTTACGCTTAAATTTTATCAGTTTCAACTTTTTCTCTTTTTTTGTTTGTTTTGTTTTCTTTGTTTCGTTTAACTCTGTATGGGTATGCGTGTGTGTGTACGTGTATGTATGCGTGTGTGTTCACAACAACTTATAGGTAATACAATACAAATATCGCGCTTTGAAGGTTTTATTTCTTAAAAAAAAGAATGTGTGCCTCATGTCATCCATAATACATATTAATAGCCATAAAGTATTGGCATTGGCTTAGCCATCAGACATTGTCTACATATACATACATATATATATACAGTATACTTATATATACACACATATATATAAATAGATAAATACACATATACATATATATCATTTATATATACATATACATATATATATATATACATGACAATAATACAAATACATAACATATATATTCAGCCGTTGTCGGGCTTGGGCTGTTACTTCATTTGTTTTAATCTTCTTCTTCATCTTCGTCGAACTTCAGTTTGTTTTTTTTTTGTTTTGTTTTAAATTGGTTATTAATTAGTATGTTTTATAAGTCTATCACATCATCACAATTAGGTTGCATTTAAAAAAAATGCCCAAACAGGGGGCGATGGGTAGCGGGCTGCCATATGATCGAAGGTGCTGGCTACCCACCTGCAACGCACCTGCAATACCTGGGCGATTTTTTTCATTTTGTTTTTGTTTTTCACTTAGTAACATTGTGTATACATATACATATAAAAAATAATATAGTATTTAGTTTTCAGCTTCTAAGACAAACAAAAAAATTCCTTTTCTAAGCGTATGAGAGATTAACAAAAAATGGGGAAAAAAAAACAAAACAAAATAATAATAATTATAATAAACAATGTCTTCCACTTATGGTATTCGATTATACATGTATATATATAAACTGTTTTCTATATATATATATATATATATATATATATATATATATATATATATATATATATATATATATATATATATATATATATATATATATATATATATATATATGAATATATAAATATTTGTATGTATTTTCGCTTCTTTTAAATGTAATTTTTGTTACAAGGAGATCCATGTGGTGTGATATATACTTTTCTGTTGTCCCTATCGTTTAGTTGCTAAAGAAATGTATATATAAATCAAAATATATATATATATATATATATATATATATATATATTCTTGTGTATATATATATAAAAAGAAATTTTGCTGTTACAACATATGCTACTCTGTCTGTCTGTGTGTTTGTTTGTTTGTTTCTATTCACTTGTGTCCTGTCTCTTCTTCCTTTTGCTTTCACTATTTTCTTTGTACTGCTTTTTCAGTTTGAAGAATTAACTTTGAAAATGTTCTTTAAATACTAAAACCTTGTAAATTTTCTAGTTCTTTTGTTTCTGTTCTCTGATCTCTGTTGTCTGTTTGGCAGAAGGCAAAGCAACAACAACTGGGCAACAACTTGGACCAAGTTAGCTAGCTAATTAACTGGGACTAATTCATGTCTCTAAAAGGTTGATAAACAAGACTAATTATGTTAAATCAAGGTTACAAATCCTGGCTACTCATCATTAACAAAACAAAAAAACATTACAAAAAAATAAATAAATATAAAGCAAATAATTTGATATATGTATATATATGTAATTATGCATTCCTGTTCTGTATTGTTACTATTATTATTATTATCATTGTTATTATCATTATCGTTATTATTGTTGTTTCTCGTGAATGGCTTTTGGGTTGTGTTTTGTATTTGAATCAACTCGCTTGTTGCTTCTTGCTTTTCTTATATATGGATGAATGTGGCGTATTTTCTTTTTCTTATTTCTGTTGTCAATTTTCTTATTGCTTTCCAATAAATTAGGCTTTAAACGATTTCAATTTTTCCAGTATTTGCATAGAACTTTTGAAAAAAACATTGTATCTCGACGATTTCGTTTATCTATATAGTTTAACACACAGAATTCAAAGTTCAGTGCAGATAGTATTCATTTAGAATGAACAAAAAACAAAAATAATAAAGAACATAAATAAATAAATAAAAAAAAAGTTAAATTATCAATTAAATTTGTATATGTAATAAATTCAAATCGCGTTTTCGCCTTTCGGATATCTAACTTCAAGTTACGCATACCAAGCACAAATATATGCAGGATTATATATATATATATATATAAATATATATACATATGTATGAATGTAAAAATTGAACAAAAAAACGCATATATATGAATATATATATACATATAGATATTACTTGAAATTACTCGAATTAAAGTGTTTTCTTTTCTTCTTTCCAATACATATTTCATTGTTTGTTTCGATTCGTTTTACATACTTCTATCAAAGCAGCGCTGTTTTTTCTCTTTGTTTGATATTTTTTTATTTTTATTTTACGAATTTCTAAAAAATTTTACTCAATTTTGCAGTTTGATTTTTAGCAATTTTACTTTGTCGAAAAAACGTTAAGCTGCATTTTTTCACTTTGATGTTCGCGTGTATGTGTGTGTGTGTGTGTGTGTGTGTATATATGCGTGTGTGAGTTTATTTAATTAGAATTTTTCATATTTTCAGCTTCATTGAGTATTATTCGCTTAGTTCGTTATTATGGAAATATTTTGTTTTTCTTCTTTTTTATAACTCTTGTTTTATATATGTATATATATTATATAAGCAAACCGTTAATTTCATACCAACCGAGTTAAGGAAAAGGTTTTAAAAATTTTCTTTTCTCAATTTTTTCTTTCATTTTCATACAATTTTTTTTTTTTGGTCATTATTGTGTGTGTCTGTGTGTGCATGACGTTCTTTACTATTTTTTTTGTGGATTTTCGTTCTTTTTTAAACAAATTAGTGAACTATTTTGTTGCTGTTGTGGTTATTCTTGTTGCTGTATACGCTTTATGTGTATAGCACCTTAGAAATTATGATTTGACAATATGCATAACAAACGTTGTAAAAATTGAAAAATGAAAAACAAAAAAAAAAAATATTTAAGATATATATGCATGTATGAATGCGTGTGCATTACGTATGTCTATGTGTGTGTTTGTGAGTGTGGGTGTCTAAGTTAACAAAAACATTTTTGTAACAAAAAATGAAATCACTCAACTTTTGAACATTCGAAGAACATGGAATTTGTTGCTCTCGCAGCAGAATGCTTAATAACTAGTTCACTAGATTAGTTAGTTCTAGTTAATTAGTTGTAGTTGTTGTTGTGGTTGTGGTTGTTGTCTGTTGCTATTCTTTTATATTGAGCGTTGCTTTAATGTTTGTTGTTGGTTAAGCAGCAAGGCGGCTATAGCGATGATGCTGTTGATCTTGATGACTGCGACTGTTCATGACATTGTCAACGGGGGGAAGAGAGAAAGAGCACATGAGTCTAACATTAAGTTAAGCTAGGCTTTTACTTACCCATACTATTGTTGTTGTTCATAATGTTGTGTTGTTGCAGCTGCCGCCATCTGAATAACAAACAAACAGTCTCTGTGTATGTTTGTGTGTGTGTGCAGTTGTAAAATAAAAATAATAAATATGAATGGAAAGGAAAATCCATGTGTGTCTGTGTGTGTTTATATATATATCAATATATAATTGCATATATTCATATATATACATATATATATTTATGTATATATATATATATATATATTTATATATATGCATAAATACGAAAATAGTATGTAAAAAGGAGTAACTTGTGCTTCTGCAAATTATTTGTTATTTGTTATTTGTTGTTTTCTATTCCGGTTTCTTTTGTTTTTCTTTTTGTGTTGCTTTCAAACTCGTAAATTGTTGCCATTTGTGTCCGCATTGTTGTTGTTCTTGTCGTTGCTGTTGTTGGTTATTATTAAAGTTGCTTGCCTGTCCATGGCAACGTACTGCTGCCGTTGCCTTTGCCGGCGCTGTTAATTAACAGCGCTTCAGCTTTTAACAGTGGTGTCGGTAACATTGAATCGATTGAATCGTACAAGTTGACAGTTATGTACGCATATACATCATTTTTGGAGCAGACACAAGCAAATAGACATATCCTCTAGATTACATATGTATGCTCTTTAAATAATTCATGTGACTTATATATATATATATTATATATATACGCATTTAGAATATGTATACGTGTATGATTCGAACGACCCGGTGTCTCGAGCCATTCTCTCTAGTCAATTTTCGATTATGACTGTTTATTAAATTGCGTGTGTGGGTGTTAGTGTATTCAGTGTGTGTGTCTGTGTAATTATTGTTATTTAATCTTCTTCTTTATCTGCTGGTAGTTGCTGCTTGCTTGGTTGCATCTCTTGTATTTGGGTATTGCAGTATTTGGACTTGGAAAAAGACAGGATTTATAACCAGCCATCTTAATGTTGGCCAGCCTGCTCGATGGCAGCGCCCGGTCCAGGCCCAGCCACGGCTGGGGCAAACTGATGATGCTGTGTCGTATAGTAGGTGGGCGGCATATTGAACTGGCTGGCATATGGATTGGTGCCAGGTGCTGCGGTTGTCGTCAGCACGCCCGCCGCGTCATACATATAGGCGCCCGGTGCGGCGGCCACCTGTGCACGTCCAGCACCGCCGGCAACAGCAGCCGCAGCGGCAGCCGCTACAGCTGCTATTGGTGGCGAATTGGCTGGCGTATAATGCACCATGGGTGTGGTAACACCAGCTGGTGCATACTCCTTGAATGTCTTGTCATCGCTGCCAGGATGTTGCTTTGGCTTTTGCTGCTGCTGTTGGCCCTGCTGTTGCTGCTGGTAGTGTGGCTGCTGTTGCTGTTGTTGTTGCTGGTAGTCACGTTTCGGGAACTGCTGAAAACGTGGCATGCCAGTGCCAGTGGCCGCCGCATTTGGCGGCACAAATTGTCCACGACCACGATAATTGGGCTGCATAAATGCGCCGCCCTGCTGGCCCAAGTGCGGCTGGCCGGCATTCACATGCGCACCACCAGCTCCGCCAGCAGCGCCTCCAGCTCCATTGTGTCCCATGATGGCGCGCGGTCCGCCATTGTTGAAAGGTGCACGCGGGCGATATGTGGCGCTGCCATTGCGATTGGCGCCATCGAGACCCGGTTGCTGATTAATGGCAGTGCCCACGCCGCCTCGATTCCAATTTCCAACGTTACCACCGGCGCCATTGGGCTGATAGCTGTTGCCGCCAGCGGCATATTGCGGCTGATAGCCAGTGCGATTGGTATAGCCATTGTTGGAGCCGCCGCCGTTGCCCGCCTGATAGTTGAGCGGATTGCTTCGCTGCTGATAGACACTGGTCGTGTTGCCACCACCGCCATTGCCGTTGCTGTTCCAGCGCTTGTTGCCGCGATAGTTGGCCGAATTGGGCATGGCGCGTGCCAAATCGAGCAGCTCCTGCGATGGCGTCTGTCCAGCCTCCTCCAACACCGAGATCAACTCTCGTGCCTGCTTTGCATTGTCCGGTGTAAAGAATGTGTACGCCGTGCCCAGCTGCTGGCAGCGTCCCGTGCGTCCAATACGATGCACATAATTTTCCGACGAATTGGGATAATCGTAGTTGATAACAAACTGCAAATCTTCAACATCCAGGCCACGCGATGCCACATCCGTGGCGATTAATATATTCGACTTGCCATTACGGAAATCCTTCAAAACCGAATCGCGTTCGCTCTGTGACTTATCGCCGTGTATCGATGTGGCTATATAGCCCTCATTGCGAATTATCTGCAATATGTCCTCCACCTGCAAATTGACAATAGCTTAGAATGCTGACTAAACATGAAAATGAATGATATCTATAATATATATATATATATGCTTACACTTTATCTAAATCAGTGCGACTTACGCGTTGCATTAGTCAGAGTCAGTTTCAGTGACCAAAAAATTAAAATAAAAAATAGGCACTTTGGTTTGATGAATCTAAATGCTAAGGTAAACTGAAACCCTTATATACGAAACTCCAAATAACTATATACAACTGTGAAACACATTGATGTATATAGCATTAGCAGTTCACGGTCGATTGAAGCCAAAATGAACTACGCTGAACGACTCCTCGTTGTTCCTACCACAAATTTGATTTCTTTACTCACCTTGATTTTAGTTTCAACAAATATGATAATTTTATTGGCTGCATTATTGGATGACGGTGTGATTTCCTTTAGCAATCTAACCATGAGCTGCGGCTTCTCGTTCTCATTGCAGATTTCGACAATCTGACGAATGTTGTGATTGGCTGACAGATTCATTGAACCGATATTGATTTGGATATAATCATTGAGGAAATCTCCGGCCAATGCCTGCACCTCCTTTGGCCAAGTGGCTGACCACATCACAACCTGACGATCTGGACGTATTTGCTCAATAATCTTGCGTATTTGGGGCTCGAAACCCATGTCGAGCATACGATCGGCCTCATCCAGGACAAGATACGTGCAACGCTGCAAGTTGGTATTGCGATTCTCAAGGAAATCAATTAGGCGTCCGGGCGTGGCGATAATGACCTCAACGCCACGCTCCAAGTCGCGCGCCTGCGGCACTTTCGACGAGCCACCGAAAATGCACGTGTGACGTATTTCAGGCTTGCATAAATGCCCATAGTCCCGCACAACCGACTGAATTTGCTGTGCCAGCTCGCGTGTGGGCGCCAACACCAATGCAATGGGTCCCTCGCCTCGCATTATCGGCGGCTGATTGGCAATGTGCACAATGGCTGGCAGCATGTACGCTAGCGTTTTGCCGGATCCGGTTTGGGCAATGCCAACCAAATCGCGTCCACTTAAGGCAATGGGCCAGCCCTGTGACTGGATGGCCGTTGGCTTGGTAAAGCCCTGACGTTTCATTTCATCGATAATGTGCGGCGGGAGTGAGCTCTCCTCGAAATTAGCCACCGGATGGGGTAGCTCATTGCCCGACACGGTGATCTCCAGTTCATGGCGCATCTCAGCTACCGCCTGCTCGCTGCGATTCAGCGTATTCGGATGCATAATGTAGAAGTTCTTTTGAAATGGCTGCAAATTCTCCCACTGCGGCTTCTCCAAATTGCGGCCCGGATTTTTGGCCTTCTCGCGCTGCAATTCAGCGCGCTCCTCCTTTGACAGCATGCCCAGTGCAGCTGCATTGTAATTGGCGCTGCCGCCTCCATGATAGCCGCCATTTCCTAAACCGTTGTGGGGCTTCTGGTAGCGCTGCGTGTAGCTCGTATTTTTGGTGCGCGGTCCGCCTTGAAAGGCGATGCCATTGGCGCTAGCGAATGCGCCGTTCTGCATGGCGTTGCCGCCGCCGGCGCCGCTGGTGCGATACGGATTGCCACCGGCGCTCATGCTAATGCCATTTTGGATGCCATAGGTCATCACGCCGTATGGCTGGCCGAAGTGCATGCCACCTGCAGCGGCGCCACCGCCGGCGCCATTCAAAGCGGCAGCATTGCCTGCTGCTGTGGCAAAGTTATTGCGCGGATAGTAGGGACGATCGTGGCGCGGTCCATTGCCGCCGCCAGCAGCTGCGCCGCCGCCTCCGTTGCCATAATAGCCGCCCGTGTGCTGCTGCTGAACGCCGCCAGCATTCGGTGCATATGCGCCTGCGTACATTGTAGTTACTCCAAACACTTCGTCTGTGTGTGTGGGTGTGTGCGTGAGTGTTATTTGTGGTATCGTGTAAGTGTATGCGTGTCTGTGTCCGTGTATGTGTGTGTTGTGTGGATGTGTGTAAGTGTGAATGGCTGTTTATTTTGTTTGTTTTATAGGCTTTCCTTTGTCCGCTTCTTTAAAGTCCGCCTATTTGTGACAAAAGATAAAGCAAATATTAAATTACAATCAATATTAATGCAAATTCATCTTCCATTTTCAATGGGTTCACGGCATACAAATATCCCTGCTCCTAAAATGACAGCAAAAGTCAAATAACAGTGCTCTTTTAAATAACATTTGTTGTAATGGTCAACCGCCAGGCAAATACGCGTGCATGTGTGTGAGCTGCACTATACACATACATACATGCATTTGCATGTTTATTCGATTTGAAACTTGCTAAAAATAATAGTAATAAGAATTGCCGCAAATAAAACTTAAATGTTATTACGCCTACATTTTGAATTGATGGAAATGTGTAATTACACTTACGTTAAATATATAATTATTACTAATTAATTACCCTTTGCTATAACTGCCGAATTGTTGTGACGTTCAGATTTTATTAATCTGATTTAGTATTATTGCTCTATGACAAATATTAAAAGGTAAGAGCTTAACACCGCTCGCACTTTGTTAGGGATAAGAAATGATATTTTTTTAAAGCAAAAGTTTGTCCTGTCAACTTCAATCAAAAGTACTGAGTGAGTTATTTGACAGACGGATGCGTGTACATATTGACTGTTAATGTTGACAAATTACATAGATGTATGTTAGAATATGTAGGCTACATGGACACGCCGCTTTGGAAGTTAACATGCTATGTGCATCGCTGAAAGCTTTGATTGTAATTTGTGAGTAAGAAAAACAAATGATTGCAGCCTCGATGCCTTTAACATTAAATTAACATGTGACATGGCTACCGCACACACACACACTCTTATGAACACATATTCACACACATGTGTATAACAAACAAGAGAATCTCAACAGTATGAAGAGAATTGAATTAACTTTTTTTTTAGTTAGAATTAGATCAAATCATGTGCTCACCGGCACACAAACCGCGTGTATCCTTTGGAAACAGCATACATACATATGTGCTTATTTACGCACACATCCGTACGCATGAACGCATGCATGTATGTACATGTATACGTAAAAATATACCTTTGAACGCGGAATTGCACTTAAGTGTTGATTAGTTTAGTTGTTTGTGTCTGCAATTGAGACACACAGTGACGAGAGAACATTCGTTGCTGTTGCTTAATTCCATAAACTGCATGTAAAATGTACCATAACGGCGAGCCCCCTGCTGCCCCCTCTCTTCCGATGACTTATGCGGCAAAACGCTCGCGCAAATAAAAAAAATCAATACAGCATCGCTAGCGGCCGACCAAAAGGGAAGAAAAAATATGAACAGAAAGAGAGCAACACGCAGAACGGCATAAGCACACACACACACGCACATACACACACATATATACACACAGACACAAAGTATACATATATGTATATACACACATATATATAGACACAAATCGTAGCACATTTACTTACCCTTTATTTTCGTGTTAGTTGTTGACTTTAAATAATTTGGAGCTACTTTGGAACGTTGAACAAAATATTTGTCGTTTAATAGTCGTACTTGGTGCCGTCGCGTGTAAATCTTTTATGCGGATTTCGAGAAATTTGTTTTTTTTTTTTGTCGATTTTTTCGTCGTCACGCCTAGTGTAAGAAAACTAGAGCTAGAGCTTGAAATTAATTGCTTTTAACACTGAAAACTAACTTTAAAGCTAACTAAAAGTGTACTTTGTTTTACACTATTTTATGAAAAACTAATGCCTATTACTTTTCTTGTGTATTTGTATATATATTTTTACAACAAAAAAAGTTTTGCAAGATGGTAATTTCAGCAATTACCACCAATGTGAGAAGAGAGTTGCAAGCGCATTGTATTATCGTATTTGTACACGATAGTAATCGATTTTGCGATATCTATTGCATTCTCTGTTAATTGTGAATACTCGTTGTTGCCCTGGTAGCCGCAATATAGCAGAGTAAGCGCTACTCTCAGTGATGAGTCACCGTGATAAATAACTGACTGATATTCGAAAGACATCAATTCTATCTTATTAATACTTATTAAGGCCTTAAAGTAAAACCGCTAATATAAATTAATTCAAGTTTTATTTATTTACCTATCACAACATTTAATCTACATTTAACAATCTGCCCGACTTTAATTGGAAGCCAAAGCTATTAACAATTTCCTGCGATTGGCATCTAGTCTATGCAAAAACTTCTGTACGCGCAGGCTATAGAAGTCACTGGACTTAGCCAGTTGGGCGCTATGAAGGCGTTCTCCACGTTTATACCGCTCCATCCGATATCTATTGCACTGATAGGCCACAATGCTGGCTAAAAAGTTCCAAATCGTTATCTGCGGCCACAGCACATCCGTAAAGTACAGCACAGATGAGCTCAACTGAAAGAGATGGAATAGGAATCCATATCACTTAACCATACAACATATACCAAATGGCAAATTTAGAACAAACTTTTTTCTTCAGCACAAAAAAGGCAACTAAGCTGCTGGGACCTCTAAGCTATAAGCCTAGTGTGATAAGAGAGCGTTTGTCGCTTTCTCTTATTCGGGATTCATAACAAAACTTTGTTGTTGTTTACTGTCCCTTAAATTGTGAATTGGAAATTTTCCCTTTTGAGCGAGAAGGGAATGCATGTTGCTGCATGTTGGTATAAGATTCCCATTTTCAACAAGTTCTTTTGGGTCGGGTAGGAGAGGGATTTTTTATGTTGAATAAGTTTATGTTGTAGATTCGGTTTTCTTACCTGCCACATCATAAAGTCGCTCAGACGTGTCTCGCCGGAGGTGCGGAACACCATGTCCGGTGGCGGGGAGTGACGTGTGTAGAGGCACTCCTCAAGCAGTCTTTCACTGATATCGGTTGGATGCAACGGTTCATCATCAGACTGATCGTCGCCCTTTAGCACAGCCTCCACTGCCTGTGTCATTTCGTCGCGGGAAGTGTAGGCGAAGGCGACATTTAAGAACAATTTGTCGTTGCGCTCGGTGCGCAGCATGGCCGTTGCAATAAGGCGCTGCAGATCAGTGGGCAGCAAGAGAATGTTGCCGATAACTCGAATGCGTATGCCATGCTCATCCAGGCGATTGGTCTCCTCCAGCAGCTTGGCAAACTTTTCTCTGGCCAGATTGAAAAGGCCCTCGACCTCTTCGTTGGAGCGTTTGAAGTTCTCGATACTGAAGGCAAACGTGGTCACCTCTTTGATGCCCATGTCCACACACCAACGAAGGACATCGGCCAGTTTGGAGAAGCCACGCGAATGGCCCTCGATCTTATCAATTTGCTTGGAGCGGGCGAATCGACGATTCCCGTCCATAACGAATGCTATGTGGTTGGGTATCCTGCCGGTAAGTTGCAGAGTTTGCAATGCCAGCTTTTGTAGACATGTATATTGGTAATCTGAAATCCACGACATCGTTCCTAGCCCGTTCCAAATTTATCTTGTGACAGTCCAAATAAGTTCTTATCGAATGCACCAGTTGCAGTCAGATATAATCGAATATACAAGATTTTGTTGCGATAGATTTAATATCGTTTGCTCATGTATCGCCTTAAATTGTAAATATATTTAGTTATTAAATTGCTGTTAAAAACTAATGTCGCTAATAAAATCACGATTTTTATGATCTATTAAATAATTTTACATACCCTTATTTAACTGTATACACCTGCAAATGATATCTATGGTTTGACGCCGAATTTAAATAATTTTTATGATGTACCGCTTAAAATATTTATTATTTTTATACAAAAAAATAAATATTATAGTTGACAAAATTCCGTGTCGCGCTTTATAATAACATATCGATATATGGTGCAATTTTAGAATATTTTTTTGCAACCGTGGGTAGATTTTGACAGCTCACACGCCTATTGTGAATAGAGTGGCAACTCCCCGGTGACAGCTGCTACATAGCCTTCTTTTTTAATATCCGGTTCACGCAATTGGTTCGTGTTGTGACATTCTCTCAACTTTTAAATACAAAAAAACACTTTTTAAGCCGTAACTTCTAAACAAAAACATGAATCGCACATCAAATATTAAGTGCAATATACTTACCGCAGATTTGCGGCAACATTTCCTGTTTTTGTTTCGATGTGTTCGGGCTGCAATGGCAGCTTTTTGTTTTGTTTTTTTTTTTTTTTTGTGGGCCTGTGTAAAGCTGCCATGTGCATGGCATATGAAGATTGTGAAAATACAACTTGTTGAACTATTGTGTCAATGCTTCTTTCCAACAGTTGCTGATCGCCCTTAATTGCTACAGAATGGCTCCCAGGAAGGCTAAAGTTCAGAAAGAGGAAGTGCAAGTCTCGCTTGGTCCACAAGTGCGCGATGGCGAGAACGTTTTCGGCGTTGCTCACATTTACGCCAGCTTCAACGATACTTTCGTGCATGTTACCGACTTGTCCGGTCGCGAAACTATTGCACGTGTCACTGGTGGCATGAAGGTCAAGGCTGATCGTGATGAGGCTTCCCCTTACGCCGCCATGTTGGCTGCTCAGGTTCGCATTGTTATCGATATATGTCTACAGAATTTGGAATAACCCATTTGTTTCCTTCAGGATGTGGCTGAGAGGTGCAAGGTGCTTGGCATTACTGCCCTGCACATCAAGTTGCGCGCTACAGGCGGCAACAAGACCAAGACACCCGGACCCGGTGCTCAATCCGCACTGCGTGCTTTGGCCCGTTCATCCATGAAAATCGGACGCATTGAGGATGTTACACCTATTCCATCCGATTCCACACGCAGGAAGGGCGGTCGTCGTGGTCGCCGTCTGTAAATTTCGCAGCATACAATGCAAAAAATATGCATATTATGTTCATGTATTTGTATGTTTCTAATTGATGAATACATTGTAATAAAAATTTAAAACCGATATAAATAATTCCCGGCATAAGCTTAAACTTATTACGTCTGGCGCATGGTACGGAGGCAAGTCTGTCAAAAAGCTGCACAATTTCAAAAAATTTAAAGAAATTACGCCTAATAGGTCTTAAGCTTTAATCATTGCAATTAAATGATTGTTTAAAAGTATTGCTGTTAGAACATATTTCATACAGGATTAGTTTACAGCGCTCTATCTGAACTGCGATCAGCACACTTGTCATATGTATTATCGATACTTATCATAATATCGATAGTGCCAAAAATCAACCACCTCTCAGCAAGTAAGTCAGCAATCGGTGCTCGTTGTCGGCTTCTGCATTCAGTTTGTCAAAATGAACGACCTAAATCTGCGCGTGGCCGCTCTAAAGTTATGCGCGCATCCCAAGCGTTTTGCCGAGATGCGCAACGCCCTCGTCCCGTTGCCGCAGAAATGGGCAAACTGTGAGTACCATACATGACCAGCAGCATTTTGCTAATGATTAATGCGAGCTCCATATGACATATTGTTCAGCACAAGCCGAATACGTGCTGAAATTTGCGACAGCCAGCAACTGTGCCAAACAAATGTCAATTGTTAAAGAGGCCTATGAAGATCCGCATGCATTTGCTTTTCTCGCCGATGTCCTGTTTGTGTGTCCCCTAAAGCATCCCGTACGCGGCATTGTGACCAGGTATGATTTCATATTACTGCCCGGATTCATTGAACTATTTCCCATCCACGCTTTCAGACTCTTCTCAAATGCCGAGTGCGTTAAGCGTTCCACAGCTAGTCACACCAAGGAAATCCTACTGAGTGCCTTGCGCGGTGCCCTGCGCCAATTGGCCATGAGCATCAGCAATAGCAGTGTGAACGCTGATGACATTAACGATGTCTTCGTCTCCGTCAGCGCCTGTCTGCACAGTTTCCCATTTGGACGCGATGCACTCGCCCAGGAGATTTACTGTTTCATACCATTGGTGCCCAAGGCCTTGCGCCTGTACTGGATGTCGCTGAGGTAAGGCCTCGGCCAATATACGAATTGTTCAAGCTTTAAACTTTCGAACCAGAGCTGTGTTCGAACTCGTTTTCTAGGCCAACTCTATGGCATTGTTAACCGATATTTGTCAGCTGCCTGACAACTTGTTCAATTTATTTCTAAGCACAGAGAGCTCAGACCTTTAGCCAATAACATTTACGTCTTCTTTCGAATTCATATTGCAGCGACGAAGGCTCACAGCTATCTCCGACTCGTCGCAACGAATTTTATTTATATATACAGAATCTGTTGCGCTTTCATGTCAACTTTATGACCGAATACAAGTTTGAGCTGGTGACTGAGCGCTGCAAGCAGCTGCAGTTGATCGATGAGTTTGCCGAGAGTGCGGCCCGTAATGTCGATACGCCTTGGGATGTGCGCGCCGTGGCTGGCCTATCCATTGGCCACAATGCGCGTCTGTTCAATGATTTTGATAATTATATCACGAAATGCCAGGAGCTGAATGACTTTAACGATCTGCCTATTAAGGCGGCCTCGCTGCTGATGCTGCAGAAGAGCGACTATAGCATCTGTGCGGCCCAAGCATTGGACATATTGAAGCGAACGTTGGATCATGTCAAGAGTTCCAGCAGTGTCACAAATTTCTTGGTCTACTTGTCCAAGCATCTAAACACCTATTCGAAATCGTTAGGCGGCATTCGCCTGCACGATCGAGCCCAGATCATGTATTGCCTGATATTGGCCATATTGATGCGTTTCTCCCTGGAGCATATCTCGAGCAGCGTCGAATCAATACGTCACATGTGCGCCAATATGCTGCATCAGGTGCTGCAGCACTGCAAAGCGGCCGATCAAACAAATATCATTGGACAGGTCTATACGCAGTACGAGCGCCAGCGTATGCCGCTGCCATCCGTTTGCCTGATGCTGCAGCAGATGGTCGAGGTGATGGGCGCCAAGTCGGTAATACAGAATTGTCCCGGCATCTTTGATAAAATGTTTCCCTCCTACTTAGGGATGGAGGACAGCGTCAACTCGCTGTTCAAGTGTAAGTCCCAACGACCCATATTTGAGCTGAATATTTAAATGTCAAATGAATTGCAGGCATGATGACCGTTGCCCACAAGGAAGAGACTAGCAAAGAGTGGCAGAGCGTTTGGTGTTCGCTGTTATTTAAAGCCGCTCAGCCGTGCGACGAACGTTTGGCGGGCATCGAGCGGCTGATCAAGGTCGCCGTGCAGCTGGACCCAGAGGTGCTGCCCGAATTGCTGAAGCAGCGGAACTTATCGTTCAGCACCAAATTGGCAGCCATGCTGACGGCACGCCGTCATAGCCAGCATCGTCTGGTCAAATCGTTGATGGTTGATCACATGGAACAGATCAGCGCAGCGCTGATTGGGGTCGATGATAATGCACGGCTGCTGGCACTCTGCTTTGTGGTGGAGACGCCGCGTCTTAGCGAGCCATATACGCAGTTCGAGCTGGATTCTATCATCAGCTATGTGGACCACAATGCTAACAATCCCAGCGCCCATATGCGACAAATTGGCCATGGCCTAATGCAGAAGGCGGTGAAGCGGCTCGAATTCAATCTGGCGCAACAAATGAAAGATCAATCAGCGACCTTGAATGATGATCACATGTTGATCGTCTTTTTAAACAAGATGCTCAACATGCTGGCCATGAATCTGTTTCCCACAGCCAACTATGGACGTCGCTGGCTATCGATGCGCATATTGCGCGATTGCATCGATGTCATGGAACGCCTGGGTATGCCCTGGCTGGATCGAATGCCGCCGCAAACGTTGCCCTTTGTGGATCACTGTCTGCGCGACAGCTACGAGCACAACAAAGTGCAGGCTGCTGTGCTGATGACCAAATTGCAAAAATGCTCACATCACAAACCGTTGGACATCCTGCAGCTGTTGGTGTCGGTGCGTCCGCCCGACTCTGCGACCGGCGCCTATCAGCTGCAGGTGTACTGCAAGGCAGCCGAGGTGCAGACCCCGCCGCCAGAACAGCCGGACGGCAAGCTGCCCAAGCATCATTCGCGCTACTATGCCGTCCTGCAGATGTGCCTGCGCGAGTTGCGCTCTGGCGTTGTCCAGGCCCAAAGCGATATAACACAGGCGGCCAAATTGAATCCTTTGTATGGCCTGCTCTTTGCCATTCGCCATTTGTTGCTGCAGCTCGAGTTCAAGCCGCTGGCCGAGGAAACGCTCTGGCGTGAATATGTTGAGCAATTGTTGAGCCTCTGTGTGACCATCAGTGAAATTATGTTGCCCATTGTGGGCAGCGAGTCGCCAGAAGGTCTTGTGCCGAAAGCACCAAAGTGCGGCGAAGATGCGCTTTCGGAACCACAAGAGCCTCAGCCGGAATTGGATACGCTGTCCACGGTGCCGCAGTTGGTGTTGCTGTGCGCTTGGCGTAGCATCAAAGAGATTTCCCTCATCATGGGCGATTTGGTGCAGCGTGCTCCGCTGCAGCAGGAGCGCAAACACAACTATTTGCTCAGCCAGGAGCAGGTGGCCATGATTGGCGAGCATTTTCTATTGCTGCTTGCCGACATCAAGCATCGCGGCGCCTTCGAGCAGGCGTACGTGGGCTTCACCATGCTCTGTCGCCGCTTCTGGCACAGCGATGAGCCGGCGCTGAATCAATTGCCGCCCGTTTGGCTGGACGAGGCGATGCGCCTGGTCATTGGCGATGGCGGCAAGGAGCTGTGCGCGACACGGCGCAGCGCCGGCATGCCCTACATGCTGCAGGCGCTAATTTGCACCGAACTGAAACTGGGCACCCACAACACCTTCAACAGGAGCATGTCCCTGCTGCTCGACGTGTGCGAGCGTCGTGATCCCGGCTCAGAGGCTGCCATTGCACGCAGCCATGCCATGAATATAATGCGTGCGCTCTTCCGCTGCAGCGAACTGGCCGAGGTGGTGGGCGAGTTTGTGGGGCGTGGCATCAAGTGCGCCCTGGAGAGTCTGGTGGCTGTGGAATGGAACGAGCGCAACAGCGCCACATTGATGCTCTCTGCGCTGATGGTGCGCATCTTTGGCGTCGAACGGGCCCGCACCGATACCGGTGAGCTGCACGTGCGCAATCGCATGACCGGACGCATCTTCTTTACACGATATCCCCAGCTATTTGACTACTTTCATGCCGGCCTCAAGAAAGCCGCCGAGCATCCGAAGGCATCGGGTGGCCAAACGGTGCAGCTGGAGGCGACGCTGCAGCTGCTCTGTCGCCTCTATCCGTCCTCAATGGAGGGCTCCGAATCCAGCTTGAATGTTCGTACTGCGCCTAAGCCAGATCTTGACAACATATGACTTTAACTATTTCCGTTTCATCTTTTTTAGCTCAGCGAATTTGTGCCCTTCCTGGAGGAAATCTCTTGTGTGCACGATAATACGACACGATATCGCGGCTGCCAAGTCTTGGCCAACTTTGTGAACGCCCCTACGGCCATCAAGCGCATGCGCCGCATTTCAATGGTCCTCGGCGTGATCAACTTCAAGCACAAGCGGGTGAGTCTTGGCTGTTCATAAAGAGACTTCATTGATATTTCCATTTTACTTATACGCATAGATGTTTCTGGGTTGTCTGTGAATCTTGTTATGCTCGTGCGTGCGAATCACTGTTCAGCTTCATTGCATTTCGACTTTGCTCATCAGTGGATCGCAACAATAGACCACTCTTATCAATGGACCTCTCTCATCAGTAGACCTCTCTTCGAAAAGGCTCTCTCATCAGTAGAACTCTCTCATCAACAAACTTCTCTCATCTGTGGACTTTTCTCAACCTCTCTTATCGGTGGACCTCTCTCATTGATGCATCTCTCTCATCCAAAGACCTCTCTTATCAATAGACATCTCTCGTCAATAGAACTCTCTCATCAGTAGACCTCTCTCATCAACAAACCTCTATCATCAAAAGACTTCTGTCATCAAAAGACTTCTGTCATCGATAGACCTCCCTCATCAAAGGACTTCGCTCTTCAATAGACCTTTCGCATTAAAAGACCTCCGTAATGGATCTTCTCCATATGTGAACACAAGTCACGCACTCTTAGTTTTATAGTCTATAGTTTTAATTGAAACGACTTGTTGTAAGTTCTCTGATAGCTTAACGACTTATGCTTATGATATGCTCTTGTAGAGCGCACATATTGTAGAACGTTGTCAAGCCAAGAAACAGGCCACAGATGCGTTGTTCTGTTGCCTTCAATACATTTCAATTGCATCAATATATCATGTATATGTGATAGAAAGAAGCTAATGTCCTAGATATATATTCAGTATATCCTTAGCATATTGAATGAAATTGTTTCAAAAGACATTCCATTCAAGCTGGAGCTATTATATAGGAAATCGATCTGTTCTCTAGCTTCCAAGTTTTCTCCTTCAACATTTGATATATTCAACTCTTTATATTTTTACAGGTTGGCAGAATACCCAGAGACTTGAATAGACTGCATGGCAGAGTGTTGCAGTTGATGGAACTATATCGAATCGCACGCTGGCAGGATGTCCGCTTGGTTAGCACAATGATGTACATGTTAGCGGTGGCTGCTGTGAAGATCTTTGATCACGACATGTTCGTGTTTCGATCAGTTTTGAATGTGCTGATTGCCGCTATGCAGGATGCCCAGGATGCCAAATACTTTGGGGCACCGCTGCTCAATGCTCTGCTGCTCGTCTATGAGCTGGATCATGCGGAGGTCTATAAGCGCAGCAAGGAGTACGCGATATCGCCGAAATTCTTCGTGCTGTTCGGATTGCATTTGCAGCGACTGACCCAGAAGCCGGAGAACTTGCTGGAGCCCATGCTGCAAATGATTGTGCGGCCGGAGAAATTGCCAGCGATGCTGGAGCAAGTGAAGATCGATTTGTGGCTGTACGTGCTCATCCATCAGGCGAATGCCAGCAGTAAGACACGCGGCCTTATCGAAAGCTACGAGATTAAGCACTTCGAATTCGATCCGGATGTGATACTCTATTTCAAGGCGCTGGTGCCTGCCCAGCGCTTGGCCCTGGGCGCACAGTTGCGCGAATCGGACGAAGTGCAGCAGCATGTGATGAAAATAGCCGCAGTGGTTAAGTGCGGTGCGGACTGGGCGCCGGGCATGTCGGGCCGTGTCTACGCCCTGTTGGCCATGCTGAACCGACTCCAGCTGACCACCAAGCAGCTGCTCGATCGCGGCGGCTTCGATGCGGAGCCAGGCGTTGTCATTTGCATAACGCGTCACATCATGCAGAACGGCATGCGGCAACAGTATCAGCCCTATTGGCTGCCCCTAATACGCTACACCCTGCACATTGCCGCTCCCAAAAAGAAGACCTATCTGCGTTACAGAGCTGCCCAGCTGCTGGATCGCCTTACCGTGCATGTGCAGCAGGTGCTGTACTCGGAAGATGTGAACATCATTGGTAACTATATACGTCTGGTGCTGCAGCTGCTCGTCGATGAATCGGAGCTGGTGCGCAACTATACGTCGGAAATGGTGTCCAGCTGCATGGGCCTCTACTTGGCCGGCGACAGGGCACTGGAGTCTGTCTCAACGGTCAGCCTCCTGCCCATGGCAGCGGAGAAGTACTTTCTGCAGCACATGCTCGACGGTCTGCAGCGATACAAATCGAATGGCAGCTTCCTGATCGGCATATTCAATTTGATTGTGGAGCCATTCGTCAGCGTCGAACTGTTGTCCAATCGCGTCCTCGACGAGGATCCAGACAAACTGCTAGCTGGCGAAGATGAGGCGGAAGCCGAAGTCTTCGACAAACAGGAACTAAATCTGTACTGTGAGGGACTGCGCGTGGTTTCGCATGTGGCAAAGAGCTTCAAGACCGCATTCCCAAATAATAAGGAGCTGATCTGTGCGCTCAATGCCTTGGAGAAGATGTGTTCATTCACGGGCTTTGGTGATCAGCCCATTCCACCGCGAATCATATCCTAACAGACATGCCGAGCACGGCATAAAGAGGCTTTACCGTTAGTACAAACACAAAGAATGCACTTAATTCCAATTGGAGTTTCCATTTAAGTTAGTATAAAATATTATGACCATTGCATTTATAATATATATATATCTATAAATATATAATATAATATATATATATATACAACTTCTAAAGTAGTTTAGAATTTGAAATGAATGTTGAAGAAATTTCAATTAGATTTTAAATCTAAATTATTATTTTCCGTCTCGCTCCGTTTCAAATTTCCCATAATCTTGCTCTCTCTTTCTAACTCACGCTGAACATGTTTGCCACTTAGCTCGACCGAAAAAATTTGACAATTTTGAAGAGAAACCATTTATTTTTGCAGTGCTTCAACATTTATATATATATATACCCTTTTTTATTATAAATATATATAGTTAGACTGTGTTCAATGCATATACCATATGAAAAAATGAATAATGTGATAAATAATGCCGATATTTACATAACAACAAATTAAAAAAGAGAAATTTAATAAAATAATCTTTAATAACAAACTAAATGTTAAAATGTTAAAACAATTTGAACATGTTGAATTTTTCAATGCATCTGAACTGTTCTATAATACAGTTAACAGTTATTCATATGCAGTTGCCTGTGTGGTGGAAATGCACTATCGATAGACGTGCATTGCTATCACGGTGCCCAACAGCAGCCCAACCGGTTAGCGATATATCGCTGTGTTTAGCCATCGCTAAAGAGAGCGCCAGTCTGATAAGATGCTCGTGAGCGTGTGTGTCGAGCGTCCGCGTTAAAAAATTTTTTCGCTGCGTGTGCGTGTGCTTTGGCAACGGCAGCTGCTGCTGTTATTCTTTTATATTTTTGTTGTTTTTTTTTCTAGTTTATTGAATTTTGAATGTGTAAATGCAATTAACAATAAATGCATACAACTACTCTGCAAGGCAATTTACTTCCAATAAGAGCTCTCCTGCATCATTAAATTGTGTACGCAAGCGGGCGGGCGTTCGCCCCAATGCTCGTATTGTGTACATATGTGGATGTGGATGTGTGTGTGTCTGTTTGTTTCTGTTGTTGTTGTAAATTTGCTTGAAAAATACAAAGCCAAAATCATACATTTTGTAAATGAGATAAAATAGATCTCAGTTTTTAATAGAGTTCTGCTAATAGCGCTCCAGTGTGTATCTTCATAGTGGCGTGAGCGAGTGTGTGCGTGCGTGTGTTTTGTTGGTTGCGTTTCAATTTTTCTTTTGTTGATGTTTTAGCAATGTGCCCAATGCCCACAATGTGTCTGTATATGTGTATGTGTATGTATACGTGAGCAAACTACTCACAGCGTTGCCATATCGTCCCAATTGAGCGAGCGTAAACAAATGTCTTGTAACTTTTTAACTTACATGCATGAGTATGAGTTTGTTTGTTTGCGCTTGTGTGCGTGTGCGTGTATGTGCGTGCTTGTGACAGTGTAATTGTGTGTACGTGAGTGTTGGCGCATTTGCATAAAACGCTTGCAACAGCCGCCGCTGCCGTCGCAGCCGTTGTAATGCATAATTTATGACAAAATCTGTTTTGAAAAACGTGTTCGTTTATGTCGAGTTACTAACAAAAAAGTGTTGCATATTTTATAGGCTATCAAAAAACAACTAAATCAAAAGAGAATCAAATCAAAAAATAAAAACAATAACTTAAAGTTAACAAATTACTAACTTGTAAAAGCGCAGCGCCTACGCCTAAGCGGCTCATCAACCAAATGGCGCTGCTGCTGCCAATGCCTAGCAATGGTTTTGGCTTAAACTGTTACTGGTATTCCCAGCTTACCTAAAACGAAAACAACAAAAAAAAAAAGAAGCAAACACTGTGTGCGAGAGAGAGTGAGAGAGCGCGCGCGCCCGCCCGCCCTCCAACCGCAAGGGAGGCGCGAGTGCAAGCGAGCGAGAGCTTAAGGTAAATATGTGCATGTAACTGTAACTTTAGAGCTTGACTTGCAGGCTTACGCACGCACACATATGTCAAATGTCTCTGCGCATCTGTGTGTGTGTGAAGAGAGATCTAGCTTAAGGCAGCGCAATTCGAAGCAAAGCTTCTTTGCCTATATTATCTGTTTAGTATAATGTAGTATTATTAAGGCATTATGAAGAGATAGTAAAACAGGTGTTAACAAGATTAACGGTTATTATTCGTGTTACATTAAGCAAGTTCGTTAAGATTTTGCTATCTTCTTTGCATTGCTTATCTTGACGACTAAGAGATAAGTGCTCAGTCGCACTACTATTTTAATGAACTTTTCTGAATTCCTTGTCAATATACAAAGAAGTCCTTACTCATAAATCTGTATATACAAATGTTTTATAATAATAATATATTTTTTATTAATATATAAAAAAATATTTTTTGCTGAAACTGCTTTTTGCTTGCTTATTTACTGAAGTCTTCATTAAATATTTTCATTAAAGTCACAAGTTTTTCGAAGTTAATCAAAAGCACAAAAATTAGTAATATTAAAGGAAATTTCTAAACTAAAAACTAGACAAATTTATACATATTTTAAATAAATACATACAAAAAACTTTATTCTTATATGAAATATTCCGTTTTAAAACACTTTTGTCCTATTCAATTTACAATTTAAAAGTAATAAAAAAAGTATATAGATTTCTGAGTGAAAAGGTCCTTTGTGAAAATGTCGTTGAAATTTCGTGCCAGGAAACTCAACTAAAATTTTCATTGTTTGTCACGCGCTGACACTTGAACCAAAAAAAAAAAAAGAGGAAAAACTAGAAAAGAGGGCGGAACATAATTAAAAGTGAAGTGAAGTGAAAATTTGCTTTGACCTAGCGCAAATTGCAAATACTAGGTAAAAGATATATGTAAGTCTGCAGAGTCCAGAAGAGAGAGATCAATAAAGTTCGTTGATCGTTTGATGATATAGCTCAGGCTTGTGCTTGACAGCTAGAAAGCCTTATTAAGTACTTTATATGCTCGCTCATCAAATTAAAAGAGCATATTGGCTCTAACAGCAATTGTTGGCACATGCAATTGGATGCCCGAAATTTCAGCTCTATATCTATATATTACTATCGGCTAGCTTTTCCAGCTTAGACAACTTTTATGCACGTTTGCTTAAGCTTTAAAGCGAAGATGAGTGAAAGTGAAAGCTAAACAGGCTATAAGAGCATTGAAAACTGGTTAACAGGGTGTATTGGCTTTAATGAAGTGCATAAAATAGACAACATTATATATACACATATGCATATATACATATATAAGCGATCTATAAGCGATCCATCTATCAGATTGTCCTTTCTTGAGCTCTCTTCTAGCACACGCAGATCAAATCAGTTTCAAATCATTTATAACTTTTTAGCTTAGGATTTAAACCGATATATATATATATATATATATATATATATATATATATATATATATATATATATATATAAGTAAATTGATTTATGAGTTTCTTTCCACCTTTTTTTCACACAGCAAAGGTGGAAATCTTTCACTCTTTACAGTGTAATATATATATATATATATAGTGAAATATTCCCAGCTTTGCTATGTGGAAAAAAGGTGGAAAAAAACTCAAATTTATATATTTATATATATATAAATATATATAATGATTTCTCCTTATTTATCCTAAAATACATACTTTATCTGCGCCTCCTTTCTCTCTCTGTCTCGCTCTCTCTCTCTCTCTGTGCTATTCTCTTCACACATTAGTCTCTTGCTCTGGGGCAGCGCATAGGCAATGGGTCCGAAGAAGCGTTCCAGCGTCGCTGAGCGCCAGCAGCGTGCCACAAATGCTGCTGCCACAGCGTCGACGGCAACTGCAGCGACGTCGACGGCCAAGAAGCGCTGCATGGGCAAGCAGCAGAAGCTAATGGACGAACCGGACGACAAAAAGTGTAGCAAAGCCGAGGCAACAACAGCAGCAACAACGGCAGCAGCAAAGCGACAGCAGGCAACGGCCAGCAGTGCAATAACAGCAACAGCAACAGCAACAACAGCAGCAGCAACAGCAGCAGCAACAACAACGACGACGACGACGACAGCCGCTGACAAAGCTGGCAGCTCGACTGCGCTGAAACTGTCCGCGGAGGAGCGCCAGGAGGATGGCAAGGCGCGAGCTATAAACAAGATGCTGAAGAGTCTGGACATCAAGATCCATGGCTTTGACAATCTGCTGCCCAGCGGCGAGGAGCGGCTGAGCGAGGGCCTCAAGTCTTCCATATCGGAGAATGTTAAGACGAAATCGCGTGCGGCGGCGGTCAAGGTGATAGCCAGCCTGAATCCTGGCAAGCCGTTCAATGTCAAGCGCCAGCGTGTGGACAACGAGTCGAATCGTGAACGTGAGAAGGAGAAGGAACGCGAAAAGGAGCGGGAGAAGGAAAGGGAAAAGGAACGGGAGAAGGACAAGGAAAAGTCTAAGGAACCGGAGGCAGTATTAAGCGAGCCAAAGGATGCTCATTGCGATAGCAAAGAATCTCCAGGCGCCAAGGGCGCCAAACAGTCCGCCAAAAAGGCCAAGCTAGAGCCGCCGTCGCCCAGCGCAACGAGCAAAGCGACAAAGGCGGCGCCCAAGAAGCAGCAGGCGCCAACGACACAGGCCGTCGAGTCGCCAGCGGCTAAGAAAGACAAGGCACGCGCCGCGGCAGCAGTTGCCAAGGGAGCTAAGAAGGTGCAAGCAACAACAGCAACAACAGCAACGGCAACGGCAGCAACTTCGACAACAACAACAATAGCTGCAGCAGCAGCAGCAACAGCAGCCGAAGCGGAGCCCAGCAAGACGAAGTCACGCGCTCAGCTCGATTCGAACACGGAGCTGGTGCACATGGAGCTGGAGGAGATAAACAGCATACAGTTGCCTCTAGCGGCAGCCACGCCCACGCCGACGCCAACACTAACGCCGACGGCAACGCCCACGCCCACGCCAACGCCAACGCCCACAGGCACGCCCATCGAGTCAACGCCGACGGGCAGCGGCATAATAGCCGCCAGCGCCGCAGCCACAGCCGCGGCGCCCGCCAAACAGCGACCCAAAATCAAGTACAGTAAAACGTCGGCGGGCAAGGCGCGACTGCAGCAGGCCTGCAGCAAAACGGCGCTGAGCAGCCTGAATGCCGCCAAGGACATTTACGACTTCAAGTCCGGATCGGAGGATGAGGAGCCCATCAAAATGATGCTGCCCACTTTGAAGGAGCTGCGCGACTTCTCCGACGAGGACAACAAGCCGCTGAAGCAGCTCGAGCAGAAGCTGCTGGCCAAGGACAGCGATGAGCCGACAGCGGCCGTTGCCGCTGCGGAGCAGCCGCCTGAGCCGCAGCCCAGCGCTGTCAAAGGCGGCACTAAGAAGCAGATTAAACGCAAGCTAAATACGCCCACGCCAGCAGCAGCGGCAGCAGCAGCAGCAACAACATCAGCAGCAGCAGCAGCAGCAGCAACAGTTGCTGCTGGCAAGAAGAAGACAACGGGAGGAAAAGCAAAGCAGCCAACGCCGCCGGCAGCTGCTAGCGATAGTTCGCGTTCGGAGAGCAGCGACTCGGAGGACGAGAAGAAGCTGAGCAGCTATGGGGCCAAGCGACATCGCATGGCCTCGCTGAACGCGCTGGCCAAGGTGCAGTGCCTCTATGAGAACGAATCGCGCACCGCCCATGAGCTGGGCCTCTCGAAGGCGACGCAACAGCCGCCGCGCATACGCACGCTCGATGGCAGCGACGACGACAACAACAGGGGCGATCTGCCGCCGGACAAGGAGAGGGACAGGGACAGGGACAGGGACAGGGATCGCGATCGTGACAAAGACAAGGATAAGGGCAAGGACAAGGATAAGGCCGATGCCAGCGCGGCGATCGTGGAGCCGCGTCGAGAGCTGCGCAACGTGACCGGCGGACGTGGCGTGGGCAAGCATTGGGAGTTCGACAGCGACAGCGAGCCGGAGGAGCTGCAGCTGCAGCGTTTCCAGCAGCAGAAGAAGAAGAAGCTGCAGAAGAAAACGCCCGCCAAGAAGCATGTCGACAGTGACTCCAAGAAGAAGCACAACAAGAAGATTCAGCCGGAGGACAGCGACGATGCCGAGACGCCGCAGCAAGCAGACGACAACGACAAGGACAAGGACAAAGACAAGGAGAAGGAGAAAGAGGCCAAGTCCAAGGACAAGGACAAAGACAAATCAAAGCCGCCACCCAAGCAGCTGCCCAAGAAGCGCAAAAGCGCCTTCACCGAGGAGCTGATTGGCGACTACAAAGGGATATTGGCGCGCAAGCGCATGGCCAGCCTGAATGCCAGCGCCATTGTGGCGGCCACCTATGAGGTGGAGCGGCATCTGGACAAGAATTTGGCCAGCGATTGCAGCAGCTTCGAGAGCTACGATGAGCTGGAGATTATAAGGCCAACGGTTACGAAGGCATCGGCGGCTTCGTCTAGCAAGCCGCACGCATCCAAAGCTCAGGCGCACGCGGAGCTGCACATCAAGAAGGAGCCGAAGGAGGCGCGCGAGTCCAAGGAGGCCAAAGAGCTGAAGGAGCTGAAGGATGCGGCGCTAAGCAACAAGCCGCAGAGCAACATGATCGAGGAGAGCAACGACTCCAAGTACTCCAAGGAGACCAAGGAGACCAATACGGATACCACCATCACGACAACCGGCTATCGCGGCGATTCGAGCAGCGCCAAAGACGCCAAGGACTGCAGCCGCCCGACCTCATCCAGCGTGGTGATCGTCCAGGATACGGACGTCACCATCACCGGCGTCTACGTGAACGCCAGCAACGGTGCCGCCCAGGAGGCCTACTGCAAAATGCAATATCGTGTTCAGTCCAGCGTCACCGAGGAGCGGCTGCTGCGACCCGGCTCCGTCGAGCCACCCAAATCCTATACGCCGCTCAGCGCTCTGTCGAGCATGCTGCCACCGGGCGCCAGTTCCGGACTCAGCGAGGGTGAGTACAAAAGTTTAAGTTGAAGATAAATATAAAGATAAAGGTAAAGATAAAGATAAAGATAAAGATAAAGATAAAGATAAAGATAAAGATAAAGATAAGATAAAGATAAAGATAAAGATAAAGATAAAGATAAAGATAAAGATAAAGATAAAGATAAAGATAAAGATAAAGATAAAGATAAAGATAAAGATAAAGATAAAGATAAAGATAAAGATAAGATAAAGATAAAGATAAAGATAAAGATAAAGATAAAGATAAAGATAAAGATAAAGATAAAGATAAGATAAAGATAAAGATAAAGATAAAGATAAAGATAAGATAAAGATAAAGATAAAGATAAAGATAAAGATAAAGATAAAGATAAAGATAAAGATAAAGATAAAGATAAAGATAAAGATAAAGATAAAGATAAAGATAAAGATAAAGATAAAGATAAAGATAAAGGTGTATATTTAATCATTGTTGATAACGGTTGTTTTCTGCTGCTTGCAGCTCACAGCTCTCCGCCGTTGCCTGTGCAGGCGCCGGCACCGCATGTCCTGCTGCCCGGTGAGCCGCTTAGCGCGGGCATGTATCATGCTCCGGATCTGGGGCTGCATACGGAGCATATGCCGCCGGATCATCATGGACCGCCGCCGCCGTCGTATGCCGCAGCTGCGGCTGCTGCGGCCGCTGCCGCTGCCGCCTACCACGCCCACCAGCTGGCGCCCGCGGGCAGCGGCGTGCTGCACATGCACCATCAGCATCAGTATGCGGCCGCCCATGCCGCGCATGCGGCGCACGCCCATCACTACCAGCAGGCGGCCGAGTACCATGGCGGGCCGCCACCGCCGCCGCCGCATCACTATGGCGGGCCACCGCCGCAGAGTCATTACGGTCCGTTGCCGCCGCCGCCGCAGGTTGGTCCGCCGGCCGTGCCGCCTGATCGCTGCGATGTTGGCTCGCCGCCGCCCTCGTATCGGGCCAGTGCATATCCCCCGCCGCCGCCCGCAGGAGTGCCACCGACGCTGGGCGGCGGCTCGAGCGCCTTCTGTGCGCCCAATCCCCATCATCATCATCAACAGCAGCCGCCACCGCATCACGATCCCAGCGGTAAGTCTCAGCTTCAAAGCAACCAATATTCTCCCCACACAAAACTTTGTCCATGGCTGCCAAAAAAAAATCATTTCAAATTTGGTCCTTTGTTATGCTCGCTAACAAGGAAAGGGTATCGAAAGTATGCAGATAATGAAACTATTTCATTTGATGATACGTATACCTATTTTAAGTGTGTTCCATTTCCACTTTGTTCCACTGACACTCTTTATGCAACTGATTGCTGCATTTGAGATATATATTATGTAAAAAGCGGCTACATCAAAAAATAAAAGCGTGTTCCATTTTCACTTTGTTCCACAATCAATTTTAAAATACATTTACAAAGCTAGTCAAAATTATGAAGTAATTTATAGCAAATTGTGGTACTATATATCATATTTTTTATATATTTTAATTGTGTTCCGATTCCACTTTGTTCTACTGACGCTCTTTATGCAACTGATTGCTGCATTTGAGGTGTATATTATGTATAAACGGGCACATCAAAAATTGAAAGCGTGTTCCATTTTCACTTTGTTCCACAATCAATTTTAAAATACATTTACAAAGCTAGTCAAAATTATGAAGTAATTTATAGCAAATTGTGGTACTATATATCATATTTTTTATATATTTTAATTGTGTTCCGATTCCACTTTGTTCCACACGATTTAAGTGTCATGCACTCTATACACATTTGTATAATATTTCTGTTTTAAATTGTATACAAAGCAGCTATGTCAAATATTTAAAGCGTGTTCCATTTCCACTTTGTTCCATGCGTCTTAACTGTTCCACTTTGTTTCACACGTTAGATATAATATTATTAATAACATATTTTCATTTAAATATATATGTGCAAATAGATTCGGTGGGTGTTCCAATATCATTTCGTACCAAACGAAAAAGTCCTGATAAATATGTGCAGACATTAGTCTGTCTGTTTATATGTATACCAATTGTTACCAAACAAAATATCATGCTCTCTTCCACTATCTCTTTTGGCCATATTATGTCAATAAACGCTTGAAGCTAAGCTGAAAAGCAAATAGAAATATAGAGCATTTGGCTTTCGACTGTAAATGCAATTTTCATTTTGTTGGCAAAGGGCCAAAACTTGAACATTGTCTTGCCACGCCCACATGCCACGCCTGCATTGATTTCAGTTATCAGCAAACAATGAGCGGCAATTTCTGGTGTTTCCAAAAAGTTTTCAACACAACGCAGAACTTGGCGATTGCCCGCCAGGCAATGCCCACTTTTTGGCTCTGATTAGTTATTAAAGAGCTTGCCAAAGCTCCAAACTTCAAGGGGTGTATGCATGTGTGTGTGTGTGTGTCTGTGTGTGTAAGTCTGCGTTAGTTGCCATGGGCAGTTCACAGCTGCAGCGTTTCGAAAAGGCTGCTTAAAAATATAGAAAAAACCAGTGCATACATTTAGGCGCGCGCATAGAAACTCAGCCGCTATATACATGTATATATGTGTGTGTGTGTGTAAGTGTTGGCCAAAGCCGGAAACTGTAAGCAGGCAAGCAGCAAACGGAAACCGAGACCAGAGACCAAAGAATGCAAGCAAAAAGTAAACACGCTGCATTCGCTGCCGCTGCCGCTGCCTCTGTTGCCGTCGCAGTCAGCAGCAGTTAGTTCAGCCAGCGTCGGCAACTGAGGAGTCAGCCAACCTCCATTGATGTCATTTACCTTTTGGTACAGACAAACACACACACACACCCGCACACGCAAACGCATATATATATATATATATATATTTATTTATATACACACATATATGTATATAAATATAGCCATAGACAAACTATGAGCCACGCACTTTAAAGAAAGAAACTGTAGATGGTTTATTGAGTGGTTTAGCGCAAGGTTAATGAATGGTTATTTAGTTATCGCTGTTTATATATAAGCCAAAAGTAATCAATGCTTCGCTTGATCTATGCTCAAGGCCTGGAGTAATTATAAATTATGTATAAATCGATTTATCGATTATTTCCTAACGCGCTTGCATAGCCTAAGCCATGCCTGTAGATCAATAAGTCATAAGCTTATGGCACATGCGGTGTCAATCAGTTTAAATATTGATTCCTGACACGTTTGTGCATGCGTTCAGAATGAATGCTCTCGTCCATTAAGCCGTTATTCAGTTGGTGTTGATTGCTAAGTTTATCTCTCTCTCTCTCGCTTGCGCTCTCTATCCGCTAAGTAGGCTAGCGTTTCAATTGTCCCACATACAGACGCACGTCTGTATGTATGTATGTTTACTTTTGTGCTTGTTATATGTACATATGTATGTCTTTCATTATAATCCTCATATCCATTCATTTATCCTTGTCCATTCGTCGCCATGTCAGCCGTAACTGTTTGCAGTTTACGCTTTGCCGACAGTTGATAATTCATTAGCACATGTTCTATTTGACGTTCGTTCATCCGTGCCGAAGCGCGCGCACACAGACACGCATACAAATACATATGTAGCTACGTAATAAAAATGAGAGCGCGCTGCGCTGCCGTTAGTCCTGACGCCCTGACGCCCTCAAAAAGCTGCGGTCGCTGCCTCTGCTTCTTTTGGCTGCTGCGTCTCTGTTACAAGCTGCTGATAAGCGTGGGGAGCGCGCGCCACAGGGACAGAGGGAGAGAGAAAGAGAGCGAGTGAGTGAGAGAGAGAGTATAAAAGCGCGCTGAGAGTGCAGCAGGGATAGTTTTGTTGTTTTTTTTTCTTTCTTTTTATTATTATTATTTTTTTTTTGACAGTGCCGGTTGCCCGGCGTCGTCTGTGTCGAGTTACGTTTTAGTGCTCATTTAGACGTCGGGACGACAACGTAACGTAACGAATCGGCGACGGCAAACGATGCCGACGACGCGACGTTTGTGGTTAGAATACGAAGATGATAATGATGACATCCAATGATAATCGCGTTGATGATGATGGTG